AGTTTTCATTAAAATATCAACATTCACTATATAACTATTGTGCAGGTGACAAAAACTGGTAAATGTTCGCATTCTGAGGTATTTGAAAAAATTTACCAATCCCTATCAACACGTTCAACATTCACTGCCAGGCGGAAATTATACACCTCAATTTATATACATACATATTACACATTTATATTTATATTGAATAGAAAACCCTTTATTGAATACTAATCCCTAAAATTTTGTTTTTAAGTTATTTTTAATATACAAATCTAATTATTTTTATTGATTTATTGGTTACCCTGGTAACACAGTTGAAAACAAAATATTGTTCTTAATTTTTTTATCACAAACCCTGTGTTATATATCTCTTGTTAATTTTCTATTAGCACAATATTGTTTGCAGAAAACATAAGCCGTACAAATTTCAAATAAAGGAACCCTAATGCCGTAAATTTATTAGTTGTCATTATTCGTCTTTCCGTGTTTTCTCATTTACCTATGCTGAAAAACTACTTACAGAATCTAAAAAAGATCTTATGCACCAACTAGAGAAAATTTCATTTCAAAAAAAAGTGCTACACTTGACATTTCGGTGCAAGATTTATGGTAGATATGTTGTTCACAGATGGAAAAAAAAAATTTTAAAAAAAAGCTGACGTTGGGACCGATGTGACCAATGTTGTAGATGGGTAGTTGGAGAGATGGGACATTAAAATATACTATTCTTAAAATATGGACAAAGGTTTCTGGTAGAAAATATAATCTTACAAATTTTAAATAATGAAATTCTTGTGCCGTAATTTGAAAAATATCGTATTTTTGGTTTTTCCCAATTATTATGAAAACTTCTTTGGATATCGAAAAGCGACTTTACTCGTCAGTAGCTATACATTAAAAGGAAAATAATCGATCTCTATAGTAATTTTTCGATCGATGCAATATTTCTGGTAGGAAACATAAGTTGAACAAATTAAAAAACAATGAAAACGATAATGCCGTAAATATTTACCGTTTTACCTATAATTTTAAAAATAATAGTTCGCCCTATATTTCGTATATCAAAAATAGTTGTAGGAAAAAAAACCACGAAAATAAAAACCCAATTTTTTTTTCTGAATATGAGGCACGAGTTTGCAATCACATTGTAGTAGTCGTTCCTTACATTATATCTTTGAATTTTGTTATCGGCCAGACAATCACTTTTATTCCCGACACATATAAATATCAAACTAACTAGATTGTTCATGGCTGTATAATTATTACTGTATTATAACTTGGATTACTATAGAAATTAGTGTAATCGTCATTTGCCGTTATTTTTGTCATTTTATGTAAATTAGAGACCTATCAATTTTATCAATTACAAATGTGTAAATGTATGTTATTTTCATTGTTATATGATTATAACATGGTTATACTAATTATAATGTGGTTTAAATAGTACAATATATTATTTTTTTTTTTAGATTGAGTTTTCAAGTAATTTTTGTAATGATTGGACAATACCGAAAAAAAAAACGTAGAAATAACGTAAAAATTTAATGAAATTAATTATTTTATTGTATACAATTTAGGTCTTTTGTTGTAATAAATTTTTTTATAACAAAAATTTGGTTTTTATTTTCGTGATTTTTTTCCGGGTCCACCAAAAATACATAGTATTTTGGACTTTAGATTTTCAATTTACTATTACCAATTTTTAACAAAGATTTAAAAAATGAATAATTTTTTGAAATTTTGATATGTGCAACACTAATATTGGATTTGCTATTTATCAGTTTAAAATATAAGCCAAAAAACCTAACCTACCAACTTCTCCGGTCTAAATTTTAAAACTTCATAACTCAGCAACGTTATACCTACCCGATATTAGTGTTATGTATGTATCTATATGTCAACATTTTTAAATTTATTATATTATTTTTTCAAATTTGTGATGAAACGGGATGAAAGGAAGGCAGTGCCATTGTAAAATTGAATGTTAATTCTTACTAAAGTTATCTGGAGAAAATGTGCACACATGAAAATCATGTGAAAATTTCATGATTAAAGAAAAACAAACAGAAATTAAACATAATTTATTTAAAATTCTCCGAAAATTCATAATAAAAATCAGCCTGTATATGGATAGTTTACCTAGTACGTGAATACATTATTATAATGTTCATGTGTAAGTGCGCATATTGTATACAGCAGGTAGTAGCAGTAGGTGGTGTGAAATAATGAATGTGTATGTGTATTCGTAATATTACGACGTTCGAAGACGGGATTGCGCGCGTCAACAGACGACCCGAGAGTCATCCAAGGACAATGAACGGCCTTTAATAACCGGTATTTACCGAAAAAAAAAATAAATATAAATTCCAGACGATAATATTCCGCTTTGCGAACTAAACAACACGTCTCCTCTTCGTACGCGTGCACGTACACACAAACAACTCGAGCAGGCAGCTGCACACGCCGAGATGATTGGGGGCCATTAATAACGCGTGGCGACTCTGACGTGCCGCAAGACGGACACGTGGTCATCCTTGTCTGCGTCGGACCACAACATCACAACACTGGCTACCGCTGCCGGCGACGCTGCCCAAACGTTAGGTACTGTCGCACCATAATAAATATTGCAGCGAGTACCTAACCGCTGACTTTAATATTATATTAGGTATTTTAGATTCTGACCAGAGCGAGAAATGCATTGGTTTTAAAATGATGTTTATTATTTTGTTTTTTCTGTGGACAACTTTTCTACCAACAATTTTACTTCGATTTAAATGTTAACACTTTTTCTGAAAATAAATCTAACTAGGGTGATACTTTAGGGAGGTCATTTTTTGATTTTCCCAGGAGTTTTCCAAATAAATGGGAAAAACCGAGAACAAACCTAGGAAAAACGGAAAAATAGGTACAATATTAAACAAAATGTAAATAATAAGTAAGTGAAGTATCATATGTTTGCCGATACGACGCACGACGTGTTATTAATGCATCACTACTCTCCTCCAACTTAAAATTTAAAGTAGAACGTCTCGTCAACGGCTTGACAGAAATAAAAAATGTTAACACTCAAATTTATTTTAACTTATATTCCATCTATTTATGGAATTTTTAATATAGGTTGCCATTTGAAAATCAAAAGTAGGTAGTGGTTTTACCCCCAAAAATAAGCGTTACAAAAAATAACACTAATATAAAATCGTAGAGGAGCTTATTTATTTAATGTTTTAAAAAACGAATTCCAAAAAAAGTTAATATTTTCCGAGATAATGAGTGTACCCACTTAAATAAATCGCCTGGTACAACTAACAATGTAGAGGGTGAACAAATTTAAAGTATGGTCGACAAATAAAAAAATAAAATCATAATTTGGAACCTATATTATGCAATAATAAATAATATCTTTTTGTTATAGGTATTCAAAGAATTTATACGTCGAGTATAAAATACGTTGTGCGTAGAATAAAATTCCATAAAAAAAACAACACATTATATTCAGTGGCGCCAAGTTCAAGTTTTTATACCGGTTTCAGGCGCCACATACCTAGTCTATAGAAATAAAACAAAATTAAAAAAATAACGTTAAAATGGTAGTAGTTTTAGAATAATATAGTGAACAATTATTGTCAGATAGAAATAAGAATAAAATAATATTTATTAATTGTATACGTCTAAGAAAAATGTTACCTAAAATAATGTTTTATAATAATAATATATCTAAATAAATTGTTATAACATTTAGCACTTTTTCTGAAAGGAAATATTCTCTGAGTGGTACTTTAGAGAGGTCATTTTTTGAAATTCTTATTAATATTCGAGATAATGAGAAAAACCTCGGTCATTACGTAAAAAATATTGAAAGATTAAAAATATGGTTGTCATTGGCAACCGTTTTTATTTATTATTTGTTATTATTAAGTTTTTATTATTTTAATTTTTATAACACTGTAGAACACAATGTATTATACTCTCTATAAATTTAATAAGAAAATTATAAACAGACACACTTTGCACGATGGGTGGGCTACTGTTGTAGGTGAAAAGGGAAAGTAGAAAGAAAATTTAATGTATATTTGTACGCAACGATTAATCATTGCTAACGAAAAACGATCCTCAGCAGAGTTCGGTTATATATCTTTTGAAAGGCCGTAATATTTACGATTTGAAAATAATTAATTTCATAATTTCTCGTTTTTCTACGTTTTTTCCCATTTATTTTATAAATCTCCCGAAAAAATAAAAAAATGATCTCCTTAAAGTATCACTCCAGTAGGATTTTATTTTAGAAAAAGTGCTACACTTAAAAATCGGAGCAAAATTTCTGGTAGAAAAGTTGTACACAGAGATAAAAACATCATTATAAATCAATGCATTTCTCGCTGCGCTCAGAATCTAAAAAAGACTAATTTTAAAATTATCTAATTAGAAATTTGGTTAAGGGCAGTGGCACCGGAGCAGTATTAGTAATCCCTTAGATATTTTTATAAAAAAAAGGGAGGGGAGTCGAGCACATTATGTAATACTATGGAGTTCAATGTGTAGAAACACATTGTGAAATCGATTTGAAAATGGTACTATATTAACATGTTACTTCCAACTATTTATTGGAAATAAAACCGTTATTCGTTTTCTTCTATTTTTAAACGCGCCTCAAAATTGACCACCTCGTTTGGATTACCGCGATACTTGTTTCTATGTTCCAATTATTTCCGAGCCTGTTAAAGAGTGGTTCCGGAACGAAATGTGTTTCGACCACATTATCTTAAATTTCATATCTCCAGCTTTATTTTGCTGAAAGAAAACGGTATGCTCCGAATTTCCTTTTATTTTTAATTCAACTTCAAAGTCACCTTGTTCAGACCACTGTGACACATTATGTATGAAGTAACCTAAATTTTTTTTAGCGCCTTCAAAATGACTTCATATTATACATTTTTGCGTTTTATTGCCTATTTACCGCATTTATAGTGATTTTTACGCGATTTGGGAACCACTGGGCTCCCTTATCAAGTATTGCAAGTAGAACGCATGATATAATTATATCATGGTAGAACGTACGTAATAAAAGTTGATATAGAAATCATAATTTTCTACTTTTCCGGCACGAATTTATTCACTGTTCCTTTCAGTTTTCGATACCTTTAAGTTTTTTCTATCTTAATGTATGTTCGAAGTATAATAATTCTTTCCATTATAACACATTCCACATAACTAAATCCTACTTCGGTTTTTTTAGATACAATGTCAGATCGCAAAGCAGAATTAGAAAAAAAGAAAGCAAAATTACAAGCCATCAGGGAACAAAAAGAACGACTACGCAAAGAAAAAGAAAAAAAAGATGTATGTGAAATGATAAAATAACTTAATGTATGGTATTATTAGATATAATTAAAATAATCAATAATAATTATATGTTCTTTTTCTAAAGACTATTCCTACTCATTTTTGTTAAGCCAATAAGTACTTTCTTATATTTAAAAAAAATATTTTTAGTTTTTTTAGTTATTTAAGTTATGGATCTACCTAGACAATATTCTGATTGAATGAAATTGAGAGGGATATCGGAAGGACTAAGGAAATACCAATTATACTGAAAAGTACATTTTGAAAATTTGTAATAATGTTGTATAATACAGAATATTGGGCAGTAGACAGAAAATAGATTATAAGAAAAGAGTAACAGATACAGAAGTGCAACCAGGTTATAACTCTTCTCCCTGAAATTTTAGATTTTATTATAAATTATGTGTAATAAATTTTATTGCATATTATTATTTCATATAAACTAAAATTAGGTTTAAGATATTTGTTACATGTTAGATTTTTAGACTTAATTTATATCAATGAAGTTATAATTTTCACTAAGAGTTTTTCTCAGAAAACACTTTTTGCCAATAAAATGCTCCTAATTTATCACATTGCACATTAAAATAAGTGAACTTTTCATCGAAAATTACGGTATGTTGGTTGATTTTTGGGTCATCTAGACCACATGGAAAAAAACCCGACCAACACCTTACCAAATTACTGACCTTCATTCAAAATTATTTTTTATTTGTAATTTAGAAGTTAAGACCCCTTATGGCTTTTTCATTGTTTTATGTTAGCATTGATTTATTGCAACTTCAAGTATATAAACTAAATTATCATTTTATATCTATCCTATAAATTCCCAACTATCCACCTGGAACAGTGCTCTACCCGTGAGAAACCACAGTTTTTTTGTAATTCATAACCCTTTTCGATAATAAATCTTGGTTGTGTCACTAAAAATAATTGTATAGGGATGAAAGAGTGACCTTAAATGGAGTATTATATTTCAATAGTTTTTATTGTTTATAATAAAATAATAAAGTAAAAACAAAATTATTAAAATGGTTAATACTTGTAAATAAATATATAAATAAAAAACTATCATAATACTCCAGGCGACACGTTGATTCATTTATTTATTTTATTTTAATTTATATATTTATTTACTATATTTACTTTATTTATATTGTTTATAAAATGAGAGAGAATGGACAAAGTTCGAGCATAGAGTCATAGAAAAGAGTTAAGTTCAATTCAAATCATTCTTGATTCTTAAAGTGCCTAAGAATTAAGAGCTATGTAATTAAAAAGTTTAAGAATTACTTGTTTACCTTCACATTGTGATATAGGTTGGCTACTTATATTTACTTAATTGATTATTTTGGTAGAATCATTAAATTTTTCATTGATTTTTTATTTTATTTACCACTTAGTTTACTCATTATATACACTAATATTATTCTTTTTGACTTGGACATACAGCATGATTTTATAACTAATTTATTAATATTTATTTTTGTTTATTGTTTTTTGAAATAGGGTGATGAAGCAATTTCTCGTGGTATTAATGTTGAGAAAGATCAAGGTAAAGAAATTGATGAAATGTTATCATCTCTTGGAGTTGCACCAGTTTCAGGTATATTTATTGAAATTTTTTAATAATAAAATAAAATTGTGTAATTAAACAAAATTTTAGATGTTTTGTCAAGTTTAACTACTTCACCAAATAAGAGTGAATTATATAATTCAATGTCAACTCCTGATTCTAGTGTAAAAGGATCACTACCTCAAACACCACTAACATGGTAAAATAATAATTTTAACATTCAAATTTTGTATAAATTTAATGCTTAAAAAAAAATTCCATATAATGACTAAAAATTAGAATTAAAATCTAATTATCCTATCATAGCTTTATAAATCTTAAGAGTTTTAGCCACTACTATTAGTGCTTTCCAACTTCTATAGTTCTGAATAATTTCCTCCCAGTTTGTAGTTTTCAATTTCTCTAGGTCTTATTGTATGTCATCCACCTAGCGCTTATTTATTACCCCTCTCAGTTTCTTTCCTTCTGGTTGACTTTCAATAGTTGCTCTAGTTAAGTTTGTTACCTTTATTTGTTTTACATGTTTTACTTTTGTCGTTTTCTTATCTCCATGTTCTTTTTCTTTGTTAGCAGTTAAACACTGTATTGTATGGGTCTGCCTATCGTTCTTAGCACTTTATTATCAATTTTTTAATTGTAAAGGTACCTGATTAACTATTAACTAATAATACATTTTAATTATGACCACTATATCACTATATTAAATATTTTGATTTTAATTGTATACCTTAAACTAAAAAATGTAATACTGATAACAATAATGAAAACAATAATTCCATAAGTATTCTTAATTTTATTTTGATTTATATATTTCAATTTTCAGTCCAAAATTAAACAAAAAAAATCGTGAGTTGTCAATTGTTTCTTTGTCTTCTACAAATATACCACCAAAAGAAGTAGAATGCTACACTAAAGCTGTTCAGACTACACATTCATCTAATGAAAGAGACGGTACGATTTATTTTAATTTTAAATAAATATAAGTTAAAAATTAAGACATATGCATGATAAGCTAAGATTATTTTATTTAAGGAACATATTATTAGCTTTTACTTAATACTACCATTGTTACTTGTTATATTTATTATTGTTACGCTGCACTGGTTTCTGGTATATATATTAAAGGATCCTGCACTTCTTCCCCTCTTAAAGGTTATTTTGAAGATTGGTGGAGGCCTAAAAAAGGTTAGATTCACAATTGTCCAGTAATAGTGTAGTGTTATAATGGAGTTTATTAATCATTATTATGGTTAATCCAGGTGGTATACCCTGAAAATGTTTTAATAATATATTATCCAATTATTGTAGAACAATATATAGTGTTTGTGTATATATATATTACTGGTAAATTATTAAATTCCTAGATATCTCATAGAATGCCATACTCAAAATATGTTCTATGAAATAAAATTTTAAAAAAACATACTTCGCGCGATGGGTGAACTACTGTTGTAGATGAGAAGTTTGGAAGGTAGGATATAGAGAAGAATTTAATGTAAAACTGCAAAGATTAATTATTACTAATGAGAAACAATTCTGAATAGAGCTCAGTTAATGTTATTGCTTTTTCAATAATATATATTTCATATTATAGTAAAATAAATATATATTGAATACAATGAATTACACATTAAACATAATATTGTGTGGCATTTGTTTTTTCCTACGTGATTTTGCAAAAAAAAAATAGTTAAGAACATAGGTTTGAACTTGTAATCTCTGGGACGATGACAAGCATGTACCAACACTAAACTACAATAGACATACTATAAATATAACAATATTGAGTTATTTAATGCAACACATAAAATATCTGCATAATATCAGAACTTCAAAGCTATAATTTCATTACTAAGTCATCCCCCTTAATTCTGCTTTTATATCTGTTCTTATATCAGCAATATACATATGTTCAATACAAAAAAAAATTGAAAAATTTGCATGGACCAGTAACTAGATTTATTCTACATACTTTTTTACAATATTAATGATTTTCTTCAAAATTTGATATTAAAATGCCAGTATAAAAAAAAACTACATTAAGTTCAAATTTTTTTCAACCACACTTTATAACTTAATGATCCTCCTATTAAATTTTCAAGCATTTCTGTTTAGTCTAACAATTTTAGGTACAGAGTAAATATACCAAATAAAATTACATACAAAACTTGCAAAATTTAAATGTATACAAATAACTCAAAAATGGCTGAACAATTTTAAAAATTTTACCATGTCTAGAAAGTGCAAATATAAGTTTTGAGTCAAAATTTCAAGTTTCTCAGACTATTTTTAACTGAATTATAATATAAACAAAATTGAAAAATAATAAAAGCATTACTTTTATATATTGTCCCATTTTTCTTACCTTTTATTCTGGATTTTCCCACATATTATAAAAATCACTTAGAAAATAAAAAAAATTGCCTTCTTAAAGTACTATCTAGACAATAATTCCTTTCAGAAATGTTTTCACACTTACATATCAAAGCAAGACTTCTGGTAAAAATTTTTATCACAGTTTAAAAACAAAAATAAACATTGTAAACCAATACATTCTTTGCTACACTCAGAATCTAAAATATCTGCTTTAATGTAAGTTTTAGTGATTTTATTTTTGGTTAATGTTTAACTTTAAAAAAATACTGAACTTAAAGTTAGAATGTTCATTAATATAATTAAGTTGGTTATTTATTAAATTTCTAACATTGCAATTTGTTTTTTAACTTTTTAATTAATGCCCAGTTTTGTTTTAATTCTACATACATTTTAATTGGAACTAATAAAGTTAAATATTTATTACATATTATTACATTGTCATTCTAGAGCGTATTTAGGAATAATTGTATGCATTGCTTAGTTCATGTGTTTGTAATAAATACAAATTTATATATACATATATATTGCAAAAATGAACCCAAGTGTTTTATCAATAGAATAATTAATACATTTTATAATTTATACTCATTACCGATAATACATATATTATAACAATCAAATTGTAAGTAGTTATTTTCACTATGCATATTTTTAAAATATATTATGCATTAGAAGTCCATCTACAAATTTTGGTGTATATCACTTGGAGGTTACAATTTATTTATATCAAATTGTTATTTATGTGTCATTATTTATATTTTTTACATTTGATGGGGACAATATTGGAAATCATAATTCGTTTTCATCAACAGCTCAAGCATTTGGATATTACGGTAAGCTATTTTTTATTATAAATATAGGAAATATATGTTAGTTATTATATCCTATATAAGTATAACTTACAAAAATAGCATGCATGGTATGTGTTTAAAATGTAGTTAATTTTTCGTAGTTTATTGACGTAATAAAATTGACTACATTAATAATTTTGTTAGCAAAATTTTATTAATTTCAAAATTATAGTAATAATTTAATTAAATAAAACAAAAAAATTATATATATATATATATATATATACATTAATATTAAGAAGTTAAATTATATTTTTAAAATGTTGAATTACATCTAATAATAATAATAATAATAATAATAATAATAATAATGGGAAAATAATATTTTCAAAATTTAACTTTCTTTGTATATTAATAATTAATTAACGCAACCATCCAATTTAGGTGGTCCATATAATTTGGTAATATTTTGATTTTGTTTAAATGGTTCTTCACAGATTTTATTTTGTTAAGTTAAATACCTTATTATTAAACTAAAAGTACTATGCTAACAATGAAAAATTTATTTCTTCATTTTTATTACTATAGCACTATTCACTACCTAGTTTCTTTTAATTTGGATATATGCACGTTTTTGTTTTGCTTATTAAGCACTTAAAAGTTTTATAATATAATATATATTTTTTTTTCATATTAAAAAAATATTTTTGTTTATTACATTAATTATAATGAATTATCATTATAGATTTTAAAAATTATTTTAGAATTAATTGTCTTGTTTATGAAAAAAAAAAAATGCTTGGAATGTGGATATATTAGTTTATTAATTGTATATTATGTAGTACTAAAATTGAGTTTTAATATTGAACATGCCTGCTACTTACTTATTTAATTTTTTTATTAAGTATAAATTATTCAAATAATTGTTTTGAATTTTTTAAACATTTCACACTTTAGTGTTCATATTATATAACTTACTATTATATCCCGCAACGGTTTAATTAAAAAACAAATTTTTATATTCAGAACATAAAAGGTAGAAATTAAATAATAAATAATCAGTTAACTTGAAATTATTTTTTGAACACTATACTACAAAGTATATTTTAAAAAGATGGACATAGGAAGAAAAAGGACATACTTCACACGTGGGTAGGTCACTGTTGTAGGTGAGAAGTTGGGAAGGAGATAGTTGGTAGAGGGGATTTAGTGTATATCTGTATGCAACGATTAACCATTGCTAACGAAAATGATTCTGAGCAGAGTTTGTTTTGTCAACAATTTTTTTATATATATATGTTATTTTATTTTATTTTTTTACTACATTTTCTTTAATAATAATATTTGTTTATATTGTACCTATTTTCATGTTTTAACCATGTTTTTTTCCAGTTTTTCCCATTTATTATAAAAACTGTTTGGAAAATAAAAATATGGCCTTCGTAAAGTATCACTCCAGTTAGATTTCCTTTCTGAAAAGTGCTATCATTGTAAATCTGAGTAAAATTGCTAATAAAAAAAGTTGTTTATAGATTAAAAAAATAAAAATTATAATATAAAACATTGTTAAACTAATTCATTCCTTGCTCTGCTCAGGATCTAAAAGGAAAATGGCTTGCTTCATAATGTTAATCTTTTATAATTTAAAATCTTAAAATAATTACTGTAAATTGCAATATTTCTTTTTTAAAATTTGATTATAAGTTTATCAAAAATAGTTGATATTTGTTATAAATTTTTTTATTGTGTTATATTGAAACCATCAACAGTTAATTAATAATAATAATAATAATTTAATTATAAAATTACTTTATAGTTAGATACAAATGTTATAATATATCAATATTTCAATGTAATAAATTTGTTATTAGAAGTTTTACTTGAGAGCCAAAATACTTTCAAAAGTTAAAAACAAAATAATTTTATTTATTACTTATTTGCTTTATTATGAATCTAAAAAATTAAATTACAATTAAACATTATTTTTGTGAAATTTCATAAAAAAATTAATAAATTCTATATGATAAATGTGCATGTAATTCTTATTTGAAAAGAAGAAAAACAAGTAGTTAAATTTTTAATTGCTGAGTATAATTTTTCAAACACTTTTACTGCATGTGATTTGAATAAATAGCTTTTTATAATATATTTCATGTTGATGCATTTAGATATCTTATTTGATGTTTTATTTTTATTTGTTTTAGTTTTCTCATTCATGTCTTAAATTTTTAATTTTATAATTTATTTACATATCTTTGTTAGTTTATAATTTTTTATATAAATAAAACATTGATATACAATTTTGAGCTTAATGCGTTATTTTAATTATTTATTAACATTAAAAATATATTTATCATACAATTATATTTATATACCTTTATTTATATAATATATTATTATTATTATTAATTTGTACGCAATAGTATTAATTTATAGAGTTAATAACCAAAGGTTAAGCAGGGAAACATGTTACTTATATAGTAATATTACTCAATTTAAAATTAGGCTGTGCCATATAATTGAAACTTTATATACATAATAAGTGTTTTGTAATACATTTCCCTGCTTTCACCTTTTATATGTTATAGTTAATGATATACATATATTTATTTAAGTTACATTTATATATATAAAAAAAAAAGTGCAAATTTGATGCCTCTTGCAATTAACTACTTCACGGTGGTGTTTATGTCGTTTTGCTTGTTTTTGTTCTTTTTTCAAGACGAATACAACTTAAATCCTGGCTTGGAATGGGAAGACGAATTTACAGGTAGGTACATCAGCAAATGCTTTTTAGCATTTTTTAAATTGGTAAATTAATAATAATATAAAAGGAAAAACCCATTTTTTTAGTTAATTATTTTTATTTTTATTCTATGAAAATAAATTTATTTTGTTGATGGAGGTTGCGTTAATTTTATATTATGCTTTGTTATGTGATCAATAGAAAGTTTAAATGATACTAATTTATGTGTAACTTGATAAGATTTTAAAAAAGATTGAATTTTTAACTTAATTCAATGAGTTAACCTTCTTTAAAATTATTATTAGTTAATACAATGTTCTGTATGTTAATTTTTTTCTGAATCATATTGAATATAGGTTATCACACTGTTTATGAAAAAAAGCCTCCTTTCATTTAAAAGTTAACCTATTGTTATAATATTTGCTTAATAACAAATATTTTATTTCATTTTAATTATTAGTAGAATTCAATTTTAACACAATCTAACTAAATATAAATTATTTTGGATATCTATTAAAATGTATACTTTAAGCATTTACTGCTAGCTATTCCTAAGTAATTAACAGACAGTTCTTACTTATGATGATGGCTCTGGTCAAGCGGAGGATGAAGATATCAGCCTTACAAATTTGTCTACATTCCAAAGCAAGCTGCCTCCAGGTATTCTATCTCAAGGTCTTCCACAGGTGAAGGAAGTTGCACCAGCTGTAACTTCACTGGAAAGAGAACTTAATGTTAAAGAAGAACCGAAGAAAAGTAAATAAATTAATTGGATATTTAATTCATACTCAATACTCATCATATATATTTATTAAATTGTGTATTATGTATTTAGTTAGAGAATTAAGTGAGGCGGAAAAAATGATGATTGTTCATTCTGAAGATTTTCAACAATTTATGGACCGTGCTGGACGGGTAATGGAGCGTGCTTTATCTGAAAATGTAGATATTTATACAGATTATACTGGTGCTTTAGATGATAATGATTTAAAGTTAGTACAAACTAAATATAAAAAGATATACATTTAAGTATTGTAAAGTTCTATTTATATTTTAAATTCATATTTTTAGTGAAGATAAAAGTAGTACCCGATTATCACTAACACGCGTTTTTCATGATGAACATTGGTCCAAGAATCGTCTAGTTACATCCTTAGATTGGTCACAACAATTTCCTGAACTAACTGTAGCATCTTATAATAATTCTGATGCACCGCATGAGCCTGATGGTGTAGTCCTTGTATGGAATACTAAGTTTAAAAAGAATTCTCCTGAATATATGTTTCATTGTCAATCAAGAGTTCTATCTGCTACATTTGCTAGGTAAATATTTTGTTTAATGTCAATAATTGTGTTTTTAGTAGTAAATACTCCCAATTTTATGTTTGATATAGATTTCATCCAAATTTAATTTTGGGAAGTACATATTCTGGCCAAATAGTTTTGTGGGATAACCGAGCACAAAAAAAAACTCCTATTCAAAGAACACCATTATCAAATACTGCCCACACTGTAAGTTTTAATAAATCAATGTAATAATCAGAATTAGAGACATCTAGCATTTGCATATTGTTTTTGAAAGATTAAAAAAATCACATAATTAAACATCAATATTATTTATCATGTAAGGAATCTAAATTTTAAATTTTAGTTTGCACATTTTACAGTTTTTGTTGTTTGGAGCATATTTTAACAGAATATAACTTAAATTAATGCTATAAAAATAGGGGCAGGGTAGGTAACTTGACAAATGCACAGTGGTCCGAAGTGTTCATAATTAAATGTTATTTTAAAAAAATAATTGTTTGATAGTTAAAATATTTTTACAGGATAAAGAATCATAATAAATGTATACTACATAGAATGATGTAGGTATCTGTCTACTTTCTTACAGAATTTTATAGAAGACATTCCGATAGGTACTGGTAAAGGATCTAGGACAAACGGATATGGCCATCTGGACACGAGGGACATACGAATGCAAAAAAAAAACTGACATATTTTGCACATGGGTGCAGCCACTGTTGTAGGTAGGAAGTTGGTAGAATACAGACAGGAATTTAATGTACATCTATAAGCAACAATAAATAAACCATTGATAACGAAAAACAATTCTGAGCAGAGTTCAATTGATAGTGTTATTTTATCAAGAATTTATATGTTTTATTATGGTAAAATGATTACAATGATTTCCATGACATCAATGATTGTTTAAAAAAAATTAAAATAATAACAAAAAAATAAATAAAAATGGTTGCTAATGACAACCTTATTATTAATTTTTCAATCTTTTTTAACCTAAAGAACCAGGTTAATAATTAGGGCTCGAAACTTGAATGCATTTAAAATTCACAAAAAATAATCAAAAAAGCTATGAAAACGCACTTAAAATTAACAAAAATTAAATGTATGTTTTTAAAAGTACCCCCCCTCTAACAGCTCTTACTTATAAAATACAATACTTGAACACTACAAAAGTGATTTACACAAGTTTTTAAATAAAATATTGCGAGTATTATAAAAAAAAAAATATATGCTGATCGTTATGTAGTATTAAAAAATTGCATTTATTGGTTAAAGCCACTATATGGGGGGGAGGGAGGAAGAAACTCCTCTGAATTTTATTTTTTATTTTAGAAAAAAATGTTCAATGCTTTTTCGACATTTATAAGCGTTTTTCTATGGATTTTAAATGGATAAAGTCCTGATAATAATATATAAAATTATTATTATATATTTCATTTTATTGTTATTTATTGCATTATTTTTATTTATTATTTTTTCTGTCATCCAAACAGCAGAGTCTAAATATCCCTCACGTACATGTGGTGGCGTCAATTTGTCCTAGACCTACTGGTAAATTTTTGTAACAGAATCTGATACTACAGTTATAACATGTTTAGGTATATTTTTAAATGAATGTAATCCATAATTAAGTTCTAATAATTTAAAATTATACAGGGTGATCATTTTTTCATAAGACAATTTGTAAGTATTAACTTTTTTGAATATTTTTTATAGAAAATTTGAGGAATAATCTATAGGAAATCTTTAATTTTATATTTATGTTATTTTTTGTCACCCTTATTTTTAAAAAATGTTGTCAACACCAAAATCAATTTTAAGTAATACTCCACCATGAAACTTTTAACATAGGTTGCTATTTAAAATTAAAAAGTGCGTAGTAATTTTACCCTTAAAAAAAAAGATTTTCTATGATAATGTGAATGGGTGCTACCATTGTTATAGATAATTTAATGTATACCTGTAAGCAACAATAACCCACTACTTACCAAAAAAACAATTCTATGCGGAGTTCAGTTGATAGTGATGCTTTTTCAACAATATATATGTCATTTACTTGTAAAATAATTAAATAGGCTTTATATATTTCCTTTAATAATATGTATTTAATGTTGTACTGATTTTCCCAGTTTTTCCATGTTTTATCCCGGTTTTTCAAATTTGACAAGAAAACTCTTGAGAAAAACGAAAAATGACCTCCTTAAAGTATCTTCCCATGCCAATTTCTTTTCAACAAATGTGCTACACTTAAAAATGTGAGCAAGTTTTCTGGTAAAAAAGTTGTACACAGATAAAACAAAAAAAAAAATATATAAAAATAAACATCTTTCTAAAACCATGAGCTTATTTGCACCACTCAGAATCTAAAATAAATCTAACAAAAAGTAACATAAATGTAAAATTGTAGAGCTGCTTGTTTCTTAAATGTTCTATAAAACAAATTTAGAAAAAAGTAAATAGTTTCCAAGATAACAAGCATCTTGATCACCTGTATATTACATTTTGGAATTTTGAAGTAGTATTAGTAGATGACATATAAGCAACTTTCAAATGTGTTACATGACCAATCATCAGAATATCAATAGTATGACGTTTTTTACTATTCTGTAGATGTTGAAACAACCCCATGCGACACTGCTATATTATAACTCTCATCAGTCATTTTCACTCATTGACTTCAATCAGTTCAAAGTAATATTATTACTGGATAGTGTTTATTTAGGAGCTACAATTACTTTTATTTTAATTATTTTTGATAATATTTGTATTAAATAAATTGTGAGCGACTCTAGAGGTAATAAAAATGGATGGAGGTTTAAGAAGGTAAATAATTTTTGATGATTGCTTATACCATTTTTCTGTCTGTAAACCGCTTTCTACCAAATATCATATTCTGATCATCAATTTTAGGGGTGGTTTTTGATAGCAAATTTTGTCTAGTTAGTGTATTTGGGAAGTTCATTTAAATGTTTTATTTGTTTATAATTTTTAACACATTTATACTCAAGAAGTTTTAAAATATTGAATTTTTTTTTTTAATTTATGAGTTACCTTAGCGATAAACATGGAAAAAACCAGTTACTATTATTTAATTTAATTTTCATGATCAAGGAAGAACTCATCTTAAAAGATAAATTAATGAGAAAAAAATATTTGCTATTATAAGGATAAGGTTGAAGGTGAGCATGGAAATACTGAAAATACTCAGGAAATACTGAGTTATTAAGCTGGTTACTAATCAATTAATAATCATTACTCATTTGCACTACTTATTCAACCAAGTACAAATAACTGCACTACAAAATTATGTATTATGCAAAATATTTTTGTTTTAACTAGCCTTCATTGAAAAATTATAGATTTCCCACTGACCATTGGAATTTTACAAGCAATGTCTTTTAGTGATTGTTTTGGCTGAAATAGTTTTAAAAAAAATTTGTGTAGTGGATACTATGAAAGGGATGTTAATGATGTTAATTCAGTGATGATTTTATACAAATGTTTTTATATTTCTTTAAACAAAAATTATAATTAGGTATACAGCTATAAATATGGTATCAAGAAATGATAAAAATTGGAGTGATCTGGACACATATATTTTATGAATAGTAATTTTCAAGCCAATCTGCCTCTATAAAAGGATATACACTCATATCTTATCTTATTATATTATACACGTTAAAATTTATATTCAAATTCATACACTTTGATGTGCGATGGCATAGTCAAATAGACTATTATAAAATAACTAATTTAGTTAACAATCATTGATTTTGATCAATAACTCAAATGATTCATCTCAAAACACAAAAGTTTTTATGCAAATATCATTAATAATGAAAAAATTAGTTATTTATCAAAGTTTTTAGTACACAATGTCAATAAAAACATTTTTTTCAGATTAAATTTTAGTGTATATTTGCATGTTTTTTAGAGCTACTAGTCTTAATCCTGAATAATAACCTATTATTAGTTTTATTTTATATAAACTACATTTAAGTTTAACTCAATTGTTTTTTGGGTACACGTTATTTGTTTGTTTTAGCATCCTGTATACTGCATTCAAGTAGTGGGTACTCAGAACGCACATAATCTTATCAGTATTTCCACCGATGGTCGACTGTGTTGCTGGAGTTTAGATATGCTGACTCAACCTGTTGAACGTCTCGATTTAACTGTTAAACAGTCAAGACCTGTATCTGTATCTGCATTTGCATTTTTGCATGATGATGTTAACAAATTTGTGTTTGGTAGTCAAGAAGGAGCTGCATATTCTGGTTGGTTAAAAATATATATATAATTTTTTTTTTATTGAAAATAAATTTTATAGTTAAATATAATTTTATAGCTTGTAGACATACAAAAAAAGCAGGAGTGGTTGAAAGTTATGAGAGTCATATTGGACCAATTACAGCCATTGATACCCATTGTGTTGAGGGAAACACTGATTTTAGTAATCTATTTCTGACAAGTTCTTTTGACTGGACAATAAAATTATGGAACATTAAGGTTAACAGTTTTTATATTTAAGTATTATTTATATTGTGATTATTTATTTAAATTGTTAAACTTAATAAAGGAATCCAAACCAATTCACTCATTTGAAAATAATAATGACTATGTGAGCGGTGTTGCTTGGTCTCCTGTTCATCCAGCTGTATTTGCTGCAATTGATATCAATGGCCATTTAGATTTATGGAATCTCAATAATAATACAGAATCACCAACAGCTAGTACAGTACTTGACAATTCACCTTTGTTAAAAAGTCTGATGTGGTCACAAAACGGAACTCATTTAAGTGTAGGGGATGAGTATGGAAAAATATCTGTATTTCAAGTTGGAGAGGTAAATTATATACAATCTATTTGTAATATTATTATTTGTATATGTATACATTTAAATACTAAGTGATACTTTTATCATTAAATACAAATTTAAAAAAAAAAAATTAAAGAAACAAGTAGTTCTAAAATATTAAATTTTCATTTTTTTTTTTTTTTTTTAAACCCTTATTTTTTGAAGTAAAACGACTACTTACTTTTGATTTTCAAAATTCAACTTTTATTTAAAATTCCATAAATAGAGTATTTTTTGAACTAATGTTAAAAGTTCAAACAAATTTTGGATTTCCATTGAGATATTTGACTTTTAAGTTTAGATAGGTGTGAGTAATGGGGTACTATTAAAAAGCCATGTGCTTTACCGTCAAACAAATGATACTCCACCACTTACCCCTACCCAAACTTAAAAGTAAAATATTTCATTAATGGGTAAATGAAAATTTAAAATTTATTTAAATTAAAATTGTATCTATTCATATAATTCATAATATTCTATAATACACATGTCTATTTTTTTTTTATAATTTTTTTTTTTTCACCGCTGAAAATAAAGGCAATTAAAAATAATAGAAATTTAACATTTTAGAGCTGCTTCTTTCTTTCTTTCTTAAATTATCAAAAAACAAACTTTTTGAAATAAAGAGTGTTTATAAAAGGGTTTGATAAAAGAATCTTTCCTTATATTTCAACACTTAAATTATAGATACTGAACGAAACGAGGAATGTATTGGTTTTACTATGATGTTTATTTTTTTTTTATGTATGAACAACTTTTCTACCAGGAAATTTCCCTCAGATTTGTAGCTCTTTTTCTATAAAGAAATCTAACTCTGGTGGTAATATTTTGATTTTCTCAACAGTTTTCATAATTATTGAATCAAAAACCATGGGAAAATCTGAGAAAAAATTTAGGAAAAACGTTAAAATAGGTACAACAAATATTTGTTAATATATTAACATCCCCCATTTGATGTTTGATGAATGAGTTATTCAAAATTTTAAATCAATCATTCATTTTAGGCTGTACCACTTAAAGTTGAGTATTTGTGTATACAAAAAAATCTAAACATTGTGCTATAGTATTTTTTTTTTCAGTTTAAAACATTAAATAACAAATTTTATAAAGATTTCAAAAGTGCCACAAGTAACAATTATTACATCATTTATTACTGAAAAAATTATAATTTTTGTTTTAAAAAAAAAAAATATTTTTGAAAAAAGGCAATATTTTTCGAAATAATGAGTGTTCAACTAAGTAACTTTGACAGTAATAAATAATGTAATAATGTCACATGTGACATTTTTGAAATTTTTGTATAATTTTCTATCCAATATTTGATGTTAAATGTTTTTTAGTTAAATAAAAAAGTTATAGCAATATGTTTAAATTTGTTCTTAAAAAATGATAAAATTATTGAACTTCAAGTACCTGGGGGCACGGCTAAAAATCGAACAAAAGGTGTGAGAGTTTCACAAACTTTAAAATAAAAAAAAGAATGTATTAGAGTAATCTAAGGGCCACCCTAATATATACTTAATATTTGTATTTGCCCAATACAATAATATATTGCATATTTGAATTATATTATTTGTTTATTCATTGTAAAGTAAACTCATAAAAAAAAAATTTCTTTTCGTGAAATATATATTTTGAATGTACCTAAACTGAATACGTAAATAGATATTTTGAGTATACATAGAGAACATGTAGATGTTGATTGCATTTAATATAATATAACACATTTTAGACAGTTTATTTACTTTGTAAGTATTAATATTTTGTCGTATAATTATATTATTATGTTTTAAATATAGCAAATGACACAACCAAGACATGATGATTGGTCAAAACTTTCTAACACATTACAAGAATTAAAGAGCAACCAGACAGATGAGATGGACAGATGTATTAACTATAGTTCAGGCTCAGTTTCTTCTGTTTTTTCTAGATCGTCTAGTATTTTAATGAAATAGTTATCTTTTTGAAAGTATTTAAAATATGATGTTAAATGTACACATATTTATTAATTTGTATAATATTAATTAATTGCTTATTTTATTTCATTTCATTAATTAAGAAAAAGTACTTATCTTTAATCATTGTTTACTAATGTATATTTATATATTTATAACTCACTCATTTTAAATATAATGTATAAGTAAAAATATGTAAGAAGTCAAAATGTGTATTTGAATTATTTCTTAAATAACAGATATTGAAATTATTTTTCATGAAATCACATAAAAGCTTTACAATATTAATATTTTTTCTTTTAGAACTCTAAGAATAACTAATTCAGTGAAATATGAATGATACTTGTTTAAAAGCATAAAAGTCAATGCTGTCATTTGTCAATTGTCATTAGAACCAAATTTTAAAAAAAAAGTACATCTTTAGATCTAAAATCAGGTGGGTGACCGGGTCTGGGTGAGTGTATAATCGTAAGACCTCAACACAAACATTTTAATTAGGTAATTATTTAATTAAACGCGTTTTAATCGAATGATCAATCTGTGTGTGCCATTTTGTGTTTGTTAATTTAATAATTTGCTTATTTGTTAAATTTTGATTCAAAATCATGGATCATCAAAATGAATTTGAATAATAACTATTAGATATACTTAGTCACTACCACCTACAATTAAAGATATACCTTGTATAGTTATACATAATATAATATAAATACTATATACTTAATATTAATTACTGCCTAATATATTATATGTAATATAAAATATGCAATAGTGTAATAGTAATTACTTATCTCATAGATGAGTACTATTTGAGTATTATATTAATTTAATTTCGCTAAAAATCTGGGGATGCTAAGCACCCCTGTATGTGCGCCAATGATGTAGTGTCGTGTGATATTTTTATTGAACTTCGTTTTTATGCTTACACGATTAAAGATATCTTTAATCGGTTTGGGGTTACTTCTTCCAAATTCCTTAATGTATGATAAGAAATAAATGCTATATAACCTATAAAATTATACATTTTGTTTGTTCGAATCCAATTGTACTTGATAAAGATTTTGATCAGATAATATGGCGTCACGCTAATCGTGCGTAATAGAACACTTTATTAAATATTTTAAAATTAATGGTCCAATTATCGATATCTAAAAAAGTTAAATAATTAAAAATATATTCAAGAAGGTATTGGTATTAAAAGATTCCTAGTCATCTATACTATTATTATAAAGAGATAAAGTTTGTGAGGTTGTAGGGAGTAATTTTCTAAATCTACCGAACCGATTTTAAAAATTATTTTACCAATAAAAAACCACATTATTTGTGAGTATCATAGTCTTAATATTAACCTGAAAAATGAAGACTCGTGATTTCGTGGTAGTCGAAGAAAAAAGGGTCGAACGAAAACACTTAATGATCTTAATGATGAGAGATATATGATTGAGTTCTAGAGAAAAGTTGTAGAATTTGAATAATGCCTACTAAAAAGTCAGTGGCTACTTGTCAAAGTTTAGTCATAGAGCATTTGTCTAACTTTTATATTTAAGTCGAAAAGTTGTTTATATTAAAAAAATAATTTAAATCGTTAGATCATGTATAATGGTCAAATTAAAATTCTTGAAATCATGAATTCTTATCAAAATGATTAAACTTATCGTATCAAGTGTTTAAAACAAGACTTATCCCTTTTACTGCATATAATTTGGACGAAGTTAAAGAGATAATACGACATAGGTATGGAACCGCGACCGTGTCGTAATTTATTGAGCGATATTTCTATTGGACGGTTTTACAACATGCCAATCTATTTATATATACACGAGCAATACCAAATAATTTAGCTTATAATATAATAAATACAATTTTTTTATTGATTTTTGTTACCCCGGTAACGGATGAATAATAAACTCAGTTTCCCGAATTCGATTTATAATTGCATGGCTCGCGACATTGCGACGCTTTTTCTTCAAATGTGTGGTACCAACATTTCTCATATCCATTAAGTTCCTTGGGCCCTAAGGCCCGGCGTCCACCAAAGTAACGTGACTCGTGATATGACAAGTGATGTGACGAGTGATTTGGCAAGATTTTTTCCCAATAAATTATTATAATTATATGTAAGTAAATATATTTATAAAGTGTCCATGAGGGGGGGGGGGGTTAAACCCTTAACCTCGTCCCCGTGAGCATGACCCTGTATATTTTCTATATTATGTTATCATAATTATAATATTACATACCTTTCCACGGTGGAGAGCTGATGACAAGTGACAAAAGTAGAACATGCAGTACTTTTGTCATCAACAAAATTTCAAAACTGATACATGATCTGACAGGTTTGATCAGTATACGGACACGAATGATTTTTGTATGTATGTAATGACAAATAACTAGTATGACATGTCACTTGCTAAATCACTCGTCACGTTACTTTAGTGGACGCTGGGCCTAAAGAACTCGAACTACGCCGAAATGATTTGCACTCTTTCGTGAACGGGATCGAGATCTCTCCATCCTTTCTATTTTCTTAGTAAGCACCGTGACCTGTTTACGAGAATAGCTAGCTGTGGATCCTCCATCTCTACCCGTAACTCTCGAGGGTTAGAATTTCCCACGGACGCTGTAGACCCGAATTAATTTCTATTTCCGAAAACTTCGATTATTTTATCGGCCATTTTGTGATATTATTTAATGTATCCCCGCTAGTCGACAATATAGCTTCGATTTGACTAGGAAGACGTCGAAACCAGAAGGTTTTTTAAAAATCGTCGGATACTTTCCCGGCCGCCAACTCACACATCTCAACCAGCAGATGAGATGACTTTTTGTCACCTAATTCAATCTTCTTCAATAGCTTTCTCAAACGCAATTCCTCAAATTTCGCATAACGACCAATTAAACGTGCCTTGAGTGTGTCGTACATATTCTGCATGGGGAGATTTAAAATCAAATCACTTATCTGCGAAAGTATCTCACTCTCCATTGAAGTAATAATATGATGGCATTTCCTCGAGTCGAACAGTATTCTTGACGTAATAAATAATGATTACACCTGTTTAAACCAGAGCTCCGGATTACCGCGCCCAAATGCAAAACACTTAAAAACATCACGAGAAGCTTCAATTTTCGTGCTTCGTCCATCAATTTCCCACACGACAAAAATGTATTCTGCCATACATTTTTGTACGCACACCGTTACGAAAAAATAACGAATAAATAACTTGATTATTTCTTTTTGTCGAGGTCACCAAATATAGTTGAATTGGAGTAACTATACAATTTATTTAATTTAAAACAGATTGCATTTAAAGGAAGTTTATTTTGCAGTAAAAAAATAAAATATATATTTAAAATAAAAATGAATAAGTACGGTAAATACGTGCGTGCACTCATTCCTGTCGAGCGAGGAACGGAACAAAAACTAAAAAAAAAGCTGTTATAGGGGATGAGTGCGGTTACTGTTGTAGGTTGGTATTGGGGAAGATGGGATACATAAAGTTATTTAATTTTTACCTGTAAACATCGATAAACTATTGTTTGACAAGACTATTCCGAGCGCAGTTAGGTAATACAAAATTTAAAGTAGCGTTATTTTTTTGCGATTTTCGTTTAAATTTGATTTCAAAACGCTTATTACAAAAAAAAATCATTTGATGATTTTGGAAATTTTACCACGTCTTGGTAAGTCCAATATAAGTATTATTACTAAGTTTCAAGTCTCTACGCGTATTTATAATTGAATTACAGCCAAAAAAAAGCCCAAAAATTAAATTTCCTTGAAAGCTCAAAATGACTCAAACATTTTGGTAATAATACCGTTAGAAAGAAAACAAAAAAGGTATCTTGTGATTTTTTGATTAAATCATTTTTCTCTGGTAGAAAATGTCATCCGTATTTTTATAAAAGAACGAAATCGTGAAATTGTTTGTTTTCCTGCTCAAGTGCTTTTATTTAAAAAATGGTGTCGCAAATCAAAATAACTTGAGCTTTCAGAAAAGTTGCTACACGTAAAAATCGATGCAATTTTACTGAGAAAAAACGTGTCCACAGACTAGAAAAAATAAAAATTTTAGTAAAATCATTAGCTACCTCGCTACGCTCGGAATCTAAAATAAGAAGAAAAAATAAACAATCATGGCATTAATATGGATATTTATAAACATACACACAGTTTAAACATTCAATACACAATACGTATATATATGCACAAAAAGTATATCCCAGTCGCCACGAATGTTTTTTTTTTAATTAGTTATGTCTATACAGTGCATATGCCACAGCTATGGCTTCAACATCACCTAAAAGCCCGTTAATTTTTTGTACCAAAAGTACACTGTATGCACTAATGTATATATCTATATACACTGACAACTGTGTAACAAAGTTTAAGATATATCCACGATTCCATGGGTATATCTGTAATCATGTTAAGCAGCTTAATAATTAATTTTGTCACGGTATTAATCTAAGACCGTGGTATTAACCTGGGTTATAATAGGTCTATATGTGTACAATTGTCATAAATGTTGTTGTATAGTACTAGTTGTATTACACTATTTGGCAACACTGAAATGTCATCTGTTATCTAAAACTCCCAGCCCTTGATGTTTTAATTTTTCTACGCGTATCTTTCTTGTAAAACCAAGATACAAGTTTATTTTGCCGTGGTTTCTTTTTAATTATCCCTCATTTAATATTGTTTTGATATTTCAAAGTAATAACAATAAATTAAAAATGGTTATGCCTGGATTGTCTATAGAGAGCTTGAAAAAGCACAAGTCCGTAAGTATAATAAAAGTATTTTTAATCTATAAAGTTTTAAATATTTTATGAAGGTCAAGTAAAAAATGTAAAAGTTAATGACTTATCTAACTTATAATGGTTTTAGTTAATCCCACTATTTGTTGTCTTGGGTATTGGTATGTCGGGCGCTGCTTTCTATTTAACTCGACTAGCAATGAAAAATCCAGAAGTAACATGGCATCCGAAGAAAAATCAAGAACCGTGGGAAGAATATAAACAAAAACAATATAAAGTATGTTAATACATAATTATAGTTTGTAATAACTTTAATTTTTATGTATTTCGATTATTACCAATTTTGACTTAGTTAAGTGGGTGTGAATTATAATGCAATTTGCATTTTTTTCTGAATGTTCTAAATGAATGCTTTCTAAGCACAAAATTTGTTTCATTAAATATAGAATCATTAGAAATATGAAACTTTTATTTTGCATTTTTAGAGTATTTTTTGAAATTTAAAATCCATTTTTAGGTTTTTAAGGCACTTTTTCATCTTTTTAAAAACTCGATAGTATTATCGGAAAATTAAATACAATTTATTTTGATTTCCTTCTTAAAGAAAAATAATTCATATTTCTATTTTTATAATTTATTAGGTATAGATTTACCAATATTTTACTAGATTAATATGATGCCAGAAGAAAATTATAAGCTATTTATCTAGTTATATTGTTGTCATACTGCATTGTTTGCGCTGTTGTATATAGTAAATTTATATACCTAATAAAAAACGTTTTTTTAAAATTTAAAATTAATTGTAGAGTATTATAGATTCTGAGTGAAGTGAATAATGTTTTTATTTTATAAAAATATTAATTTTTTTTTATGTGAATACTTTCTACCAGAAAGCTTACTCCAATGTTTATGATGTGAACTCTTTTCTGAAATTTTCTCGGGGTGATCTTTTATGGTATTTTTTTGATTTTCCCAGTAGTTTTCTCATCAAATGTGAACCTCTTCCCCCCCCCAAAAAAAACGAAAAAAAACTGGAAAATGTACAAAATATAGGTATTAGTTAAAAAATATTTCGGCCTCTTTTTTCCTGTGAACAACTTTACTAGCAGCAATTTTGCTTCAATTTATTATGATAGTATTTTTTCTGAAAGGAAATCTTACTGGAAAGTACTCTAAAAGAGATCATTTTTCAATTATCCTAGTAAACGTGTAAAACTGGGAAAAACAGGAAAATTGGTACAATATTAAACAAATATTATTAAAGAAAATATATTATGCCTAATTAATCATTTTATAATTATAAATATATATTATTCTCAATCGTATCCAACCACCTCTTTTTTTGTGAATCTTACCACTTCTTTTCTTTTATGTTTGTTTTCATTTTAATTCCTGCTATATTTATTTTATATTTTATTTTTCTGTCTACTGATTCAACACTCCGAACCATACAACATAATCAGTCTTACTATATTTTTGTAAAACGTAACTTTAAATCTCATTGGAATTTTCTAGTCACATAAAGCATCTGACACTTTTCTCCATTTTATTCTTCCAATTACACTTAAACTTAAGTTTCACATCCTCATGAAAACCACTATTCTTTTTTTTTAAAAGTCTTGGGTACTTAAAACTTTTTACCTTGTTTATTATCACTTATTGTTGTTAGCTCTCTTATCTTATTCATCCAAATTCATACTCTTGTTTTACTGCTATATATCTTTAGTTTATTTCATTTCCTTCAAATGATACTCTGCGTTCCTTAAGTCTATTGTTAACGTATTCAAGTTTTTCTCCTATCAGAGTTATATCATGCACCATGGTACCTCCTCTCACCTGTTGTCTCCACACACAATCGAGATGAGATCACCCTATCGAGATGTAACTCTTTACATTGTTTGACAGAATTTTACACCAGCTGTCGATTTCACGCAATCCCATTTATTGCTTCTTACAACAGATATAGGTACCATGGTAGTATTTTTATCCCCTCCAATTATCACAGTTTATGGAAATGAAACTATAATATAATATAAAAAGTTTAATTATTACTATCCAATTAAGCAAAGCTTGCTAACTAACTATATTGTCTTTCCAAACTAGTGATTTAACTTATTGTTTTGTTTGTTTCAGTTTTATACAACAATTTCAGAACCTCCAGTCAGTCCAGCTCCCAAATACTAGAAATGTGTTGGTCTACATACATTTTGTATGATTGGTTATAAAAATGAACATAGTGTTATAATATTTTTTGTGTTTTCAGTTTTTAATAAACAATTAATGGTAAATACTCTGATATTTGATTATAGAAACACATTAATACATGTTCATTTAAAAACAATTAGTTTTAAGTTTAGTTTTTGTTGGCAGTGTTCATAAAATATTCTCTAGCAAATATATTAATTACATAGATTAATTATTATTATGTTTTGAAATCTTCCTTTAAAAGTAAAAATATATCATGTGATTTAAATGTATGTTAGAATTTTCTAAAACAGTTGATCGAAGACTATAATTTGATACCCATTAAGTGTTATAAATTTTAAGTAATTACAAAAATATTTCCTGATTAAAAAGAATCATTAAAACAAAACATTTAATTACACATAATTTATTGTAATAACTATTTAATGTTCAATAATAATTTAATAATATTATACAGGATGATTCAAAAATTTTATACTAGCCATTTTATTATATACATATTTAAATTAGAGAATAATGTATAGTATAAAAGCTTTTTTATTTATATACATCTAAAATGATTTATAAATTATTTTTTTTAGTCTTTTAGGGAGGAAAGTTACAACTTTAGAAATTCTAGTGGGAACCTGTATTTTTTGCAAACATAATGTGATAATATTTTTTGAATTAATTTTGTGATTGAATAACATTAATTAATTGAAAATAATATGCTTGAGAGCGATTAAAAGTTTTTAGAAATTGTATGTGATCACTTGAGGAACATGTTGCTAATGAGTTATGACACTTATCACATCATACAAATTATTAACCAAACAATTAACCACAGTAACCATTGTGGTAAAAGGCAGCTTTGTGAGTCAGATATATCTGCTCTATAGGAATAGGGCAGTTTATCTGTTTTCATTCCAACTATGGCTTATCCATTCTTTATTATCTATGTTTATGGCTAAATATACAGCATGGCTATAGATATAATATATCGACCGTGATTTGAACATTTAGTGTATATTTTACAGGCTAATCACAGACATAAAATAAAATGTGGATTTGTATTTTTTTTTAATTATTCATTGTTCACCGTTATTTGTAGTAAAAATATTTAAAAAATAATATAAAAACATTTTAAGATTATATTATTTAATTAATTAAATTAATTTAAGCTAAATTCTATCAAATTTACTTGAATTCTAATATAAATTTAACAATATTATATAGTTTTAAACACTGAAGTCTATACATCTGTGTAGAGTTCAGTGGTTTTGAAATATTATGTAACAAAAACAAGTTTTAACTATTTACACAATTTATTCATTTTAGTAGAAAATAATATGACTTGTTTATACACAAAAACCATTTATTTTTTTAGTTTTTAAGTACTATTATATCCATACAAATTTAATTTAAATTGCTTATGTCGTCACTATCACACTTTTTACGCTAACAATGATATTTATGTATTATTATAGGTATTGAATTATACATTTATGCTGTTTATATAAGTATGACAAAACGAAATTAAAATAATCTTTGAAACAAAATTTGATTCAAACAAATTGTCAGTAATCAAAAACATATCATTTATTACATCCATATAATTTGGATACTGAACTATTATATGATACAATTCAATGAAATCCCCAGAACATTTTTACATTTATTTGTAGAACGTTTATCAAAACCCCATAGAGTTTATAAATACAACAATTCACTTTCCCCAAAACATTTTTTGACTGTTATTTATTGAGATAATTATTTTCTTGATAATTCTTTGGTGTTTTCTATTTATATTTGATATTCTATTTTAATAATTACAATGAAATCTGAAATAATATGTTCAATATGCGACAAAAAGTTTATACAAAAAAGAAAATCTAAACACATTTATGAATTATTCATAACATCGAATCAGTGTTCACTGATTTTCAGTGGAATATTTGAAACAAATACTTTAAAACTATAAATACATTAGATACACACATCTAAAAGTTTCATCAAACCAATGAAGAACAGAATGAAACTAGAATAATTTATCCTAATAGTGAATGTAAAAAACCTGTGTATTCCAATGCTAAATTCAATATTCACTTATCTTAAATACATACATTTGATGAAAAAATGAAAGAAATGGAATTTTTAAGCATACCAGGTAATAAGTGTGATATAACATATAAATACTTATGATAATGGTATTTATTTATTTATTATTTAGAAATAACAAATATTAAATATTTTATCATAGAATTTGAGACATGGAAAAGAGAAGAACAAACAAGTCTTTCAATGATTTTTATTGATAGAGCAATGTCTAAATTACATGATGGATGAAGAAGACAATATTATTATTGATCTCGATCATATAATCACAGGAGTAAAAGAGAAAATGGAGAAAGCAAAAGAAACAAAATTTGTTGGAAGTAATAAAATAGATGGAACTTGCCCTTCAATGATGAAAGTTACATAATATTTAAAACACAAAGGAACAGGTCATGTTAAGTTTTGGGAAAATCATTATGGCCATGAGCTTGAAATTGTAAGGATTAGACTTGATGAAGAAACAAGAACAAAAATTGATGGTACCTGTAGAAATTATGGACTAATTTAATTATTTTTAATTTTATTATTTAATATATAATTTTGTTTTTTCAGCAAAATTGAGCGAAGTAGTTACTTTTCACATATAGATTCAGTTGTGACTGATGATACGTTTAAACAATCTGTCCTTTTGGATCATAAAGATCTGCATAATATTCTACGAGACTTCAATATCAGCTACGCTACAAAAAAAATACAAAAATGATACAATTATTAGTATAAAGTTATGGTTTAGAGATTTAAAAACAATGTTCCTTTTACACTACAAAGGTCAAAATGAGAATGATTAGATTGGTCATTGGAGAACAAGGACTAAGGTGTCTTGGACAATTAAGATATTACAATCATTCAAAAAGAATAATTTAAACAATTTGGCCACAATAAAATTTCTATAGATGGTACTCATGGCACAAATGCATATGATATTCAGTTGTATACTATTGTAACAACTGTAGATGAATTTAGATCAAGTCATCCAGATAAATCCCGGTCAAATTGATCTAACGAGGTTATTTTTTAATCATATTTTAATAGGTAATATTAAGCATAAGATAGGCGTTATTAATTGTAACATATTTATGAGTCATAAGTTATGAATGGCTCCTGCGTGGGTTGCTGTTATAGGACCTGTTGAACACAGACTATTGTGTAGGTAGATACTTGTAATGTGGATAAAAACGGGCAACAAAATGTATGTAAAATTAGTGGTGGACCTGAAAAAAGCACTTGTTTACAAAAGATTGTGAATTCTTTTACAAACCACATCTATAGAACAATTTCATAGTTATCTCGAGAATATAAGAGATTTGAAAGATAATGAAGACATTAACAGGTTTGAATAATATTCAAGTTAACCAGAATGTTGGGTGTATTATTTTTGTTTTAAAATCCAATTGGTCCCCGCGAAAAAACGTCTTATGTGGACAATCGGCTCCCATCATAATTTTATACACGGACAATTTACGGTACAAGGGAAATTTGGTTTCTACATTTATTAATAGGATAACTAACAACATATCAGAATCATTGAACAATAAACTACAACATAATATGTTGACAATATTATTGTCCAAATTAAACATCCATGTATTTATATGTTTATTGAATCTATACAAATAATTAATTTTACAACAATGATATCTTTGACTAAAAACAATGAAAATATATTTTTAAATAATTTTATGAAACCTATAAACATTGGTGTTTTTGTAATAAAATATATGGTATACTCTAGTTTAAGAATTTAAGCATCAAACATTGTGATTTTACAAGCATAAAATTAATTAGATTTAACCATTTAAAAATCCTGTCGCTTCGCTCCCAAAAATACTTTCCTGAGCTCTTACCTACCTAGTACATTCATAAATTTCCTAAGTTTACAAGAATCATTGTTTTTCTTACCCTGTTTGGACTTTTTTATTTGTGTACCTATTATAATAACTTTATTTAATATTTCCTAAGTATTAAAAATGACTACATATCATATTTAACTTAATTATTCTTTTTACTATCAGATTGGAATTTGTAAAATGATAAACTTACACCAACAATGTAATGAGCAACAACATGAAACATTAATTACAAAAAAAGATAACAAATTTAAAAAAATATAGACTTCACAAACTCTGTCAATTATATATATATTATTTTTTACTTTTTTAGACCTATTAAATTATTTTACCAGCTAGCTTTTTACATAGCTTCCGGATTCCAAATACTTATTCGAGGTCCATTTATATTTATAAACATCAAATCAGCAATATTATTTACAGTTAATACTGTTCATATTCAGCTGTTGAACATGGAAATATTTTAAGAAAATTGTAGAACTCAGGCATCTCATTTTTTGAATCATTATTTTGGTGAAAAATAATTTTTCTCATGCCATTAATTGCTTTATCCTTATTTAATATAAATCTTTCTTACACAAATTATATTTTGTCTTCTCCATATCGAAGATCTATATGTTCTGGCCAAGTTGTTTTTTCTAACACTAAAATGCTTTCTAAAATCCTTATATTTTCAGTATCTTTGTCATGAAGTATTGATTGTGAATTATTTTGAATGCTTTTAAGAAATTGCTCATTATTTATAGAAACCAATTTTTTATTATTAGTAAGTTCAACACTCAAATTTATTTTCTTTTACTATGTAATTGCTTCAGCCATAGCTACCATGATTAGTTTTGAATGAACTTATGACTAATAGCTTTCTTCACAGACTTTTCAACCTGCATCAGTGTAATATGTCAACTTTATAAATCAGTTTACAAGTTTGATATTTCTTTAAGGACATCACACATGATGGCCAAATCTTTAACAAATTCAGGGCTTTCCAATTTTTTAACAAGTCCTAAATACTTATTTCTAATTTTAGAGTTTCTATAAAGTCGAACTAGCCTTTATAAAGGGCCTGGGAAATCAGTGAAGTGAATAATAGGGTCTTTCAAATTATAATAATTTATTAAAAAGAAAAACTATTTGTAGGTAGTCAAACTAATAATAAAAAAAAAAAAAAAATGAAAGTAAATTGCAATGAAGTAGTAGTATTTTTATTATAGCTACTTAATATATAAATACATTATATATTTGATTATTTAAAGTTGCAATATAAAAAATGTTTAATTAAATTAACAGAGCTTTCCTTAAGATTGAAGTCTGGTTTGCAACTAATGATGTTTTCTGTTTGAATATTGTCTAATATGTCTTTATTAATATGTATTAACATCATAGTCGTTAGTTGAACGGTTCCTTAAACGTGTTTGTATGTACATTAACATAGAATAACTTCTTTTGCATGTAACTTGTAAGCTTATAACATACCCAAATAAACTATAATCAATCATAATATGCACTTAAATACATAAATATTAAATATTTTATCGCATGTATTAATTTTTTAAGGTAAAATTATGAATTTGTAAACTACAAATCACTTTTGTATTAAAATATAAATTGTGTAAAATATAGGACTTGGTTGCTTTGGAAGGGCCTGGGCCCTAGAGCTACAACCCGGCTGCCTTCTTTTCGTAGGCCCCTTTTGCTCCTTCTTTTGCAGGCCCCCTTAGATCCATTTTTGTCTCTTTAACCCATGTGATAGTAATATTTATCATTTGAGTAGGTACCTAAGAAATCATAAAGCTAAAAAAGGTATTTTGTAGAAATAAGAGTATGAAAAACCGAAAACGATTTATATAAACGTATATAAGGGAATTTATAAGAAGGGCCCATCGGGAAATTCCAGATATCTTGGTGAGCCAAATAGCCAATACTGACGTGCATGTTGATATTTTCTAGGACACTGTACGATGAATCGGATAACTTTATGCAATTTAGTAGGCAAATGCAATTTTGATAATATTTGACTTATGTAAATAAACTAATCGGTACGTTAGTAACTAATGGTTACATTCATCATTTACCAGTAGTCTCCATAATATTTGTTTGGTCGATACGATGTTAATATTATGAATAAGTACCTATATAATGAGTATGTTTAATGTGTCTACTATATATGTGTTTATGGTAGGTAATATCTATAAATTCAAATAACACTCTGTTAAATGTTTATTTATTTTATATAAAAATGTGTATATAAGTGATTTATTTTTTCTAGTGATACTATTATTTTGACAAATTATAATGTAGATGTGATAATATAAACGAATTTAGAAATTGTGTTTATAAAATGGAATAATTTGGTAGCTACTAAAATATTTCATAATGTCAAAAAAAATAAGACCAACAGATAAAGAACATTATAACTTTTCGAAGCATACAAATGAAACAAATAAATCAAAAAAGCGGATAAATATCTATCATGGATTTAATGAGAAATCAAAAAAAATGGTAACTCGTATGCAGGGTGTAACGGGACTATTTGATATTTTTACATTTTAGTTATACATGTGATAATGTCAAATAGTTCTATTACATTCTATATACTTGCCTAAATATTATATTTATAACATATACCTACTAAAAAACAAAATTTATTAAAGTAGCCCAGTCAATTTACTATAAGCTACATTAAGTAGGTACTAGGAACTAACCATGTAGTTCATAGTTATTTTATATCTACTTTATTGTTTAGTTATTAGTTAATAATTTTAAATATCCTATACTTTATAATCTATAATTCAATTTCAATTCATGTTATGTGCATACGCGCAGGGCTATAGTGGAGGGTATACGACGTTATCTTTTCTCAAGAATTTTCTCATTAAATGAGAAAAATCCTCTCAGAATCGACTTTTTGTTAGCAATAGTTTATCGTTACTTACAATTATACATTCAATTATCTATAACAGTAGCTGCATACAGCCCCATTATCCTAGGGCGTCTTTTTACACTATTTAGCCATTATTCCAGACATAGATAACGTACACGCAATCGAAGTATGTGTAGATAACGCACAATGCAAGTTCTTTAATTTTTTCACAAAATATTTCTAATTGTAATATACTTACTTATATTTTAAGATTAAAAGCTTTACCAAATGTAAATTTTCTCAATAGATAACAATTATTAGTCACTAATTAGTTCCATTAAGCCTCCGCCTATTTTCGATTATGATATACAGGGTGATTTAGATTAAATATTGTATACTAAAAAAAATCAACAAAAGAAAAATAAATAATCCGGCAAAAATTCAATGATAGCCGAAAATATAAAACTCAATTTTAGTTTTAAGGTTCTGAGTGAAACGAGGAATGTAACTATTAGTTTTACAATGAAGTTTTTTTTTTCTGCAAATAAATTTTCTACCAGTAATTTTGCTTCGATCTATAATGAAAGTACTTTTTTTAAAAAGAAATCTGATTGGGAAGGTCATTTTTTGATTTCCTAGTGAGTTTTCCCAATACATCGGAAAAAACGAGAAAATAAGCACAATATTAAAGAAAATATAAAATGCATATGGAATTATTTTACCATAATAAAACATATATATTGTTGACGAAGCAAATCTACTCAGAATTGTTTTTTATTAGCAATGGTTAATCGTTGCGTACAGATATACATTAAATTTTCCCTTAACTACCTTCCCAACTTCTCACCTACAACAGTGGTCCCCTCACATGTGAAGTATATCTGTCTTTTTTAGAATAAACCGCAATCGACTGTCACTGTTGCTATTTCGTAACTTCTAATAATCAATGTAATAATACAAATATAATTCATTTGCATAATAAAGATATGGTCCTATGGAGTTTTACAAAATAATATAATTTTATATAAAACAAATAAAATTATTAAACTAGAATACGAGCCAAGGTACAATTGGCTAGATATTATACATTTAGATTATTATTCTCCTGTTATTAGTTAAAATAATTTATTAATTTTATAAATTTTACAGAAAGAAGCAAAGGAAGCTCGAGAAAATCATGAAATATTTCGATCAAATTTAGTGGATGCATACTCTAAATACTTAGATCCAGAAGATAATGTGGAAGCGAATAAGAATACATTTTTGAAATACTACTTTTTTATTACTCAAGGCGCTGAAGCTGATACTAAATATTTAACTCCCATTGATCCGAGAATAGTAGATGGTATAGTTAGTCGACTGTCCAAGGAGTTCCAAAAATCACCATTTTTACTGGAATTTAAAAATGAAATACTTAATGTAAGTTTGATGAATTAATTAAAATGGCAAATTGTAGATATAATTATTAATTTTGTGTATTCAATGTAGTTATTATAGTTAGACAGTAGATACTAAAAATTATTTATTTATTTTTTAGTATTTTTAGCATTGGTTAACTTGATCATGACCATTACTTCTATGTATACACAATATTCTTTAAGTAATAAAGCATCTTAAACTTTTAACTTAGACTTATAATATTTTTTCTGTCTTATAGGAATGTTATTTGAAGGCAATGAAAGAGGCTGTTGTGGCATATTCGTTGCACGATGTAAACTCAAAGCATAATCTATTACCGTTTTTAGATACTTCATTTCGAAAAGAACTTCGACAAAATAGTTTACTATGGAAAAAATCAATGGTGCGGGCAACCTCATTTCTCCGAAATAACTTACACCAAGCCAATCCTTTAATAGCTGAAATGATTAAACTCTGGCACAGAGATTTTGAGTATGTTTACAACGTTACATTTTTTATTTGTTTAGACTCTGAGCGGAGCAATTTTGTTGAGTGAGTTGTATTGGTTTTACAACGATGTTTGTATTTCTGTGAACAACTTTTCTACCATAAATTTTGTTCCAATTTATAATGATAGCACTTTTTCTAAAAGTAAATTTGACTGGGGAGGTATTTAAACGAGGTAATTTTTTGATTCTTCCAAGAGTTTTCCCAATAAATGGGATAAAGGGGAAAATATTATCAAAGAAAATATATAATGTATACGTAATTATTATATTATAATATGATATATATATATATTGTTGACAACAGTGGTGTATCCACAATTTTTGTTTTGGAGGCTGAGGGGGTTGAAAAAATATAACAAATACAATTTTTTTGAATTTTGTGTGTATTATAATCATGCATTAAACATTTTATTAGTATTTTACATCGCTAATTATATAAAAATTGAAATATTTATCTTTTTTTAAAATTATTAATGTATATTCATTTTTTGTTTTGATGTTTTAATAAGTTCATCTATAACATCGTTGATATCCACGTTTATATCGCGATAAATATATTTCAGTAAGGCTAAACCATTTAAACGTATTTGTCCTGAAAAATGTTTAAAATATGTTTTCAAACGACGGAGTGTTGAAAACAATAGTTCTCCCATGACAGTAGACACTGGAATTATTATGAATATTTGAAGAAAATCAGATATTACTAGAGAAACATCTGGACTAGTTTGGAAGTTTACTTCAACAGCATTTTTGTTCTTGAGTTCGGAAGATGTTAAATTTAAATATTTAATGTACCACAAATCTAAATCTTCGTTTAATATATGATCATTTAAATTTGAATTTTTACATTCTTCAATTATATCTTGATATGTTTCTACTAATTGTTTGAATTAATCTTTAAAATTTTATATTTAATATAGCTAACACATATAACATCCGTATAATATTAGAACTTCAAAAAGTTATGATATTGAAACTATGGTATTGGACTGACTTAGTTTTTAGTCTGCTCAATTATGACTTCACCATTGTACTTAAATCGTTAATAGTTATACGTATGATTAAAACAAAAAAAATTGAAAAATTTACATGGACCGCGATAGCTAAATTTATTCCACATAATTTCTTACTCAAACAATTTTCATCAAAATTTGTTATTAAAATTCTTTATAAAAAAAAAAAATAAAAAAAAAAATACTACATTAAGTTAGAATTTTTTTTTTATCAAAAAGTATGATGTATAAAGTACCTACTGTTAAATTTAAAACATTTCTGTTATTTTATCCACTTAGTACCTACCGAATAAAAATTACGTAGAAAACTCGCAAAATTAAAATGTCTATAATTAGCTAAATAGAGATCAATTAATATTTGAAAATTTGACTATGTCTAAAAAAACCAAATTTAAGCTTTCTAGCAAAATTTCTAGTCTTTGTGAATATACTAAACTAAAATACATTAAACAAAATTGAAAATAATAAAATAATTATTTTCGTATATTTTCTTGTACTTTCGGAATTTTTTTCGGTTTTGCTCAATTATAAAAAGTACAAAGAAAATCAAAAAATGACTATTGTTCACCAACTAGATTAAAAATTAAATAAAAAAAAACTCTTGTCATTTTTGATTAGAGTACCTAATATTTCGATTGGAGTAATATTTCCGGTAGAAAACATAAGTTGAACATATTCAAATAATTAAACTGGGACATTAAGTTGCCGTAAATATTAATTTAGATTTCTGTTAGAGGAGTTTCCAGCAAAAAAAAAATAAAATTCAAAAATATACACTATAGTGAAACCAATAGATTCTGAGCGTTTTAAGTACCTTTATTTAATTATTATTATTTTGTTATTTACATATATAATATTACATTAATTGTATAATAGTTATAGTAAAGTTATAACCACTATGTGCATTGGGTCTTGGCCCGTTTTATTAAATAATTTATTATTTGAATAAATATAATTATTAATTATAGGTATACTATTAATAATTTAGTTCACCGAGAAATTTTTAGGTCTTATTTTAGTAGGTACCTGTTTATTATAATCATTGTATTGACAGGCCTACCAAAATATTTGACTATGCTGAAATGGCAGGCAGAGGTACAAAAAAATATGCATTACCAGAGTATATGGGTCACATACAAAAATATATTGCTGATGGTAGTATTTCAATGCGGATTAAATGGTTTGAGAGTGTCATACAACTATTTCAACAAGTAATAATTATACCCTACACATTAGTACTAATATTTTAGTAACAATAATATAGTACTCACTTATAGTAGTAATTTATTATGCTGTTAACTAAAATTAGAATAAGAATTTTAAACATTTAGTTATTCATTTTATTGTATTTAACATCCCAAATACCTATTTTATAAATGTTTTTGTTTTAGTCTAAATTCAGTCGTTTCATTCCCAAAAAAGATAACACAAAAAAACAAATATCATTTTATAATTGTGTGGCATATATTATGAAAGTTAAATACCAAGAGTATGTTTATAAAATAATGGAACAATTTACACAAATTATGTGTAACCCAAAAGTAAAAAAAAAAAATATACATATATATTTTTCATTTGTTTGTATATAATTCTTTGTTTATCTACAATTTTGATAATATTTAATTTAGACAAATCCTGGGTTTGTAACAGACTTAATTTATAGAAACTCGACATTACAATTTTATCCAAATTTCAAAAGAATTCGCGATTTTAATATGTCTATTTATGATCAAATAAAGGACATGGTTTTAAATTTGGAACGTCTCGAACATAGATTATACAAGGAATATCCTTATACTGGAAAAATTTTAAAGGTAATCATTTATACGTATTTTACAAATTTATGTAGATATAGATATAGAGGTAGATATGTACCTACCTAGTTATAATTCTTAATAAAATAAATAATTCAATTTTTTATTATAGGTCGATATAGATGACACTATAGTTAGTAATTATCGTAAAAAACTAGGTTTTGTTTTGGATGATTATTGGGTATTGCCTGAATTAGTTGTACATGATTTGGATGAGCAACTTTATTTAGTTAATGGACAAGCTCAAGATGAAATTGAACACTTTTTATCCACAGAACATTCTATTGATGAGTATAAGGGATATGTGGTTAATTATCATAAAATTGCTTTAGATATACCAGTAAATATAAGTCCAGAAATAGTTATTGGAATTTTTGAAGTACGTCGGAGTGATACGATAACGACATTATGCAAGCAAGCAGACAAATTAAAAAATATGATTATCAGTCGAATGACTAACACTTATTTAGCAATAGGAAAAAAGTGATTAATTTTCGTTTGAGTAAATCATAGTTACTTTTATTTTTAAATGTTTTTAAATTGTTTTAGACTAAATGAAGAATATGGGACTATACAAACAATAGCTCTTACTCCGCCAGTCAATACTAGAGAACTAGTGAATTTAAAAATATACATAGAAGAAGTCAAAAATGATGTTATACCTGAAATGGAAGAAAGAGTCAAAGTGGTGCTGTCATATGAATTGTTTTTATCAGATTACACTCTGCTGACTGGCGTAGAATTGAAACAAAATGGAAAAACTTTTCAATGGGTAGAACTTATTAACTATGTATTTGCAGAAAATACAAAAATGATTGAACAGAAAACAAAACAATTACAAGATTTATTACTAAATCGTATTAACAAATTTAAAATCGAATTAGAAAATTATCGAGATCAAGTTGCTGCATTCAAACAATTTGGAGATGTAGATTTGTTATCTTTATATTTGAATAAAGCACAAAGTCTGGATAATAAGTTATCAAGTGCTTTAGATACCATAGATGGATTTAATGAAGAGGAAAAACATTTTGGATGGAAAGAGAGTTCATACCCTTTAAGAAAAACAGTAAAGTTGCTTTATTATTAATTGTAAAATAGGTGTTTTGATAAAATTGTTTAATTAAGGTTGCTGAAGCTTTGGCTCCATATAAAAAACTTTATGATAATTGTTCCGAGTTTTTGGAAAACTATGAAAAGTGGATGAATGCTAAAATCGGTACCTATGATCCAGTACAGATCGAACAAGATGTTAATATTTATTATCGTAACATTGTAAAATTGGAGCGTACTTTTGTGGATTGTCCAGCTCCTTTAGCGATTGCTATAGCAGTAAATTAATATAATTTCAAGTATTTTTAAGAAAATAAACTATATTAATTTAAAATTAAACAATTATATTTCATAAGGTGAAGCAGTCTGTTGAAGCATTTAAAGAACATATTTCAGTAGTTTTAACTTTGGGAAATCTAGGTTTAAAAGATCGACACTGGGAAAGAATATCTGAAATAATTGGTTTTCCTTTGCACCCTAATCAAAATCTTACATTAGCAAAAATTATGGATTATAATTTGGATGAATTTGTATCGAAATTTGAAATAGTTAGTGATGGTGCATCAAAAGAAACCGCTTTAGAAAAAAAATTACATTCAATGGAAGAAGAATGGAAAGATTTATACTTCAGTCTTTTACCATATAGGTTAACAATGATTCAAATTTAATGTTATATTATTAGATAATACCATAGTATTATGATATTTCATACCTTTAGAGATTCTGGTACTCACATATTGTCAGGTATAGATGATGTACAACTGTTGCTTGATGACCATATATTAAAAACTACAACAATGAAAAATTCACCATTTATAAAACCATTTGAAGAAAATATTAGGTAAACACTCGTAATTACTAAGTATAATATACAAATTTAATGTACTTGTTCTACGTAGTAATTATTATTATATAATTGTTGTAACTAGAAATTGGGAAGGGAAATTACAACTATTGAATGATATATTAGATTACTGGATTAAAGTACAAATCACTTGGATGTATTTAGAACCTATATTTTCTTCTCCAGATATACAAACTCAAATGCCTGAAGAATCAAGAAGATTTAATGCTGTTGATAAAGTATTTTTTTTAAACTTCAATGTCTTATGTATTTCTTGAATTTTAATATTTTAGGTTTGGCGAGATATGATTAAAGAAGCACAAAAAATAAAAAAAGTTATATTAGCTATCAATATTGATAAACTTTTAGAAAAATTAAAGAAAAGTAATAATTTATTGGAATTGATTCAAAAAGGCCTTAATGATTATCTAGAAAAGAAACGACTGTATTTTTCAAGATTTTTTTTTTTGTCTAATAATGAACTACTTGAAATTTTATCAGAAACTAAAGATCCTACGAGAGTACAGCCCCATTTGAAAAAGTGTTTTGAAGGAATTTCTAAATTAAAATTTACTGAAAATTTAGATGTGGTTTGTATGATGTCTAATGAAGAAGAAATTGTAGATTTATCAGTAATTGTGGATACAATGAAAGCTAGAGGACAAGTGGAGAAATGGCTTGTAGATTTAGAAATATCCATGAAATTGACAATACGTGAGATAATAAAAAAATCGTTAATTGCTTATACCAATTATGAAAGACAAGAATGGGTTATTCAATGGCCTGGACAAGCTATTCTGGCTGTTTCTTGTACACATTGGACAGCTGAAGTTACAAAAGCTATTTTAAATTATCCTCGAGGTTTACCTCGATATTTAAATAAATGTAATTATCAAATAGACAAAATTGTTAATTTAATTCAAGGCATTTTACCTCATCAGATCCGGTTAACTTTAGGTTAGATTAAAATGAAAATAGAAAACTTGACTGAATTATTTACATAATATTAAATTTTTTTTTTACAGGGGTTTTAATTTTACTGGATGTACATGCTAAAGATGCTGTTGAAGATATGACAAGAAAAGAAGTTCGTAAAATTAACGACTTTAATTGGCTTTGTCAGTTGCGATATTATTGGAGAGTAATGACTATGGTATATTAGTTGATTAAATATAAAATTACTAACCAATAATATTTTTATAGGAAGAAAATTTAGATGCAATTATGATAAATGCTTCTTTAAGATATGGTTATGAATATCTTGGCAATTCACCAAGACTTGTAATTACGCCTCTTACTGACCGTTGTTATCGTACTTTATTTTGTGCTTTACAACTAAATCTGGGTGGTGCAACAGAAGGACCAGCTGGTACTGGTAAAACAGAAACAATTAAGGACTTAGCAAAAGCTGTTTCTAAAAAATGTATCGTATTCAATTGTTCTAATAGCATGGATTACATTGGTTTGGGAAAACTGTTTAAAGTAATGATACAGAAGTAGAAAATAAATAATTTTTTATAATGATTTTTTTTATTACAAGGGTTTATTATGTTGTGGTGCCTGGGCATGTTTTGATGAATTCAATCGTATTAGTTTAGAGGTATTATCAGTTGTTGCTCAACAAATATTAACCATTCAACGAAGTATACAAGCAAGACTAACTAAAGTGCATTTTGAAGGTTCTTCTTTAACGTTAGATAAGACTTGTGCTGTATTTATTACTATGAATCCTGGATATGCTGGACGTTCAGAATTACCTGATAACTTAAAAGTACCTAGTTTAAAGAACATATAGAATGTCTTACTATGTCCTACAATTGGTTATATCTCTGTTGATACTCAATTTTTTTTCAATTTAATTGTCTTTTAGGGGGGGGGGGATATTTAGTACAAATTAATTTTTGTTTATCACCCCTTAATCACTAGAAAAATATTACTTTTTATCCGTTCACTTTGCAAACATTTTCAAAATAGTCTATTTGTAATAAATATTCTACAAACAATTTTAATTTAACATATATGCATAATTCATATCCAATGAATAATAGCATTGCTTTTATATTAAAAAATCAATGGTAATAAACCATGAAAAATTGCGTTCAATATACTACCACATTATGTGATAGGGAATCACTTTTGTAATAAAATTGATAAAACTAATTATTTTTTTCAATAGGTGGGTTTTATTGTGTCTTTGCGTAATATAGTAGCACTAATTATAGAATAGACTATTCTATAATTAATAGTATAGTAGCTACCTATTACAAATGATTTATTGTGTTAGAAATTGAAAATGTAAAACGGCTATTACGAAAGTATTGATTGGATATGAATCTATAGTCGGTAGTAGATTTTTAGAATAATATCTTTTACAAAATGACTATTTTGAAAATTTTAAAAATTTAACTAATAAAGTTATTTATTTTAATGATTAGGGAGTGAAAATAAAAATTTTAATTTTCTCTTTATATGTGTCCTCACATAAAATGTAATTGAAAAAATAATTAAATATTATTAGAGATATAAAAATACATTAAATACAGTGAGACAAAATCTTTATAAATATAAACTTATGTAAAATATACCATGATGACATTTGTATTATTAAAAAAAATTATCATTCAATTTAAAGTATTGTATGTGTTATACCTAGGCATTGTTTCGTCCATTAGCAATGATGGTTCCAGACTATACAATTATTTCTGAAATAGTTTTATTCTCCCAAGGTTTTAAATTAGCACAGTCATTATCTGTAAAATTAGTGACATGTTATAAACTATGTTCTGAACAACTCTCATCGCAGAATCATTATGACTTTGGTTAGTTATAGGTTAATAAATGTATTACTTTTTATTTTTACTTTATTTATAAATACATAATCATAGGAATGAGAGCTGTGAAAACTGTTTTAACTGTGGCTGGTAAATTAAAATTAAAGTATCCAGAAGAAGATGAAAACAATATTGTTTTGAGGTCTATTAAAGACGTAAATTTCCCGAAATTTCTTGAACATGATATACCATTATTTGAAGTAAAAATTAAAAAACAATTATAGTTAATTATAAAGAATTTAATAAAATTGTGCACATCTACTTACTATTTTCAGGGTTTAATGTTTGATTTATTTCCTGGGATTGTGTTACCACAATCCAATTATTCTATTTTGAATACAAGTATTGAAGAATCGTGTAAAAAATTAAATCTTCAATGTACACCTTACTTTTTGGAAAAAATTCAACAAATTTATGAAATTATGATGGTTAGACATGGTTTTATGATAGTTGGATTGCCATCCAGCGGTAAAACATCAGCATATAAAACACTTGCGAATGCATTATCAATAATTGAAGAAAAGGTAGGTTTAGAGATTCATTAATTTTTTACTATCTACCTATCTATATATATATAAAAAAGCCAAAAACCACTCACTCAATGATCTCCATATCTTAAAAACTATACAACCAATGAACTTAAAATTTGGAAAAGAGGTTCCTCTAATAATCTAAATGGGCAATAAGAAAGGATTTAAACAAATATTGCGTTTAAGTGAATTAGTTAATATCAATAATTTATCGCCAAACTCCAATACGTATTAACAATCGAGTTGTTGAATTTTAAAATAATTTAAAAAATTAATTTCATACAATAAACAATAAATTTGATTTAAGTATTTATAAGAAACCTACACAAACTGATGCTATAATACCACATAATTCTAATCACCCTTATTTTCAAAAAAATATAATTTTATAATTTAATATTCTATATAAGCTTGAATATATTTCATTAAATAAACATAATTATCAACACGAGCTCAATATTAATGTTAGGTATGCCATACCTAATACAGGAGTTCCCCCTTATACGCCAAAAATGTATATTTTGTTACTCAATTTATCAAATAAATAAATGTAACCATTTTCAATTAAAATATTTTTATCTCGATTTCTTTTTAATAATGCCATATACTAGACAATTAATAAATTATTATTTTTTTTGATATTAAGCCCGGATTAACACTATCGTAGTCCTTAGGCACTAATAAGCAAAAAAAAGATTATCAATAAGTTGTTAGTTTTGACACTTAGCTAATAAGAAAGAAAATAAGTTATCAAAATTTTTTTTGTAGGTCCTAGGCTATCTAGGGCTAACTTTTATAAATTTCTATATGATAACAATTTTAACAAATCTTAAAATAATTAATTTTCAAAAATTATAAAAAATAACTTCTTTTATACCATTTTGCATATTTCTATATTCCTCCCCGCCAGTGATAGCTCGATGTATTTTTACCTTGAATCACTGATTTAAGTTTCCATTTACCCACCACAACCAGATAAATACCACCATCCAAAATGTTACTGCAAATGTATTTATAACCGTTTTTATTATTTTAATCATTTTTAAACAATTATTGTTGTCATGGAAACGCACAATGTTTAAACTTTAAATTTTACTATAATAAGACATAATAACATATGAAAAAACATATCCGCTTCTAAGCGGAGTTCAGTTGAATGTGAGAGTGAAGTGATGCTTTTTCAATAATATATGTGTGACATCATGGTACCTACAATAAAGTGACTTTGCTAAATGAAACCTATCAAAAACTTTATTTATGGTTAAAATAAAATTTTATTTAATTTTAATTTTAATAATTGCCATTCAAAAATATTTTTAGTTTAACTATTACATTTCTTTTTATAATTTTTTTTTTTTTTTTTATTTAGAAATTAATGGACGAACATAAAGTAGAAATTATAGTTATAAATCCAAAGTCAATAACTTTGGATCAATTATACGGTAAATTTGATATGGTGACACATGAATGGTATGATGGTATTTTAGCCCTGGGATTCAGACAATTTGCTTTGTCTGAAAATTTGAATAGAAAATGGATTTTATTTGATGGACCTATTGATGCCATATGGATTGAAAGTATGAATACAGTACTTGATGATAATAAAAAACTTTGTTTGACATCTGGAGAAATAATTCAACTTGCTAACACAACTAATTTGATATTCGAAACAATGGATTTAGATGTTGCTTCTCCAGCAACAGTAAACATTTTTTCAATTATTATTATTTGTTACCTAACTATTTCAAATAACATTTATGATGATATAATTTGTTTAAAGGTATCTAGATGTGGAATAATTCATATGGAACCAGTTTCATTAGGTTGGGAATGTTTAGTACAATCCTGGATTAAAAATCTATCAATATATATAACTTCTCATTACAAACAAATGTTACAATCACTTATTTTGAGATTTAGTCACCTAATATTATACTTTTTAAGACAATGCAATATTACAGTAATACTTATCAAATAGATGGGTACCCACCTAATTATAAACTGTCTTTATACTATGATTTTTGTTTTAGGAAATTTTTACTTCCAGTAACTCTAATCTCATTAGATCATTAACAAATATTTGTGATACATTTATGGATCCATATAGTAACCAAGATTACATGAAAACTATTTCACAATCTGATTTTCGAAGTCAACTTGAAGTAATTTGAAATTGGAATAAAAAAATGTGTAGTTTGATTCTATTAAAATATATGTATTTTTTAGGGTATTTTTTTCTTTTCTTGTATTTGGTCAACAGGGGCTACTCTTGATGCAGATAGTCGAGTAAAATTCAACATTTTATTTCGTGCATTATTAGAAAAAAAATTCCCCAAAAAAGTTGTTCAAACTTTTAAATTACCAATTGAAATGTGTTCTTCACCAAAAAAGCCTTATACAAATTCGCCACCAATAGAATATTCAGTATTCGATTACAGGTATATTATAGAGGGACAGGGTAAAGGAGAATGGAAATTGTGGTCAGATTATGTGACAGAAGCACCGACAATACCTCAAGGTATACCTTTTAATGAAATTATAGTGCCAACAGTTGATCTAATAAGACATCAGGTACTTATGTCTAAGCTGATTACTCATAATAAACCAATGATGGCAGTGGGAAAAACTGGAACAGGAAAATCAATTTATACTTTGGTAAAAATATATATAATTTATAAATTATATATTTACATAGATATATAAAAATAAGAAATAATGTATTTAATTTCAGAATTATTTGTTCACAAAAATCGATAAAACTATAAATCAATCATCATTTATGAACTTTTCTGCGCATACTTCAGCTAATTTAACACAAGATATAATTATGAATAAACTTATCAAAAGAAGACGTGGGATATTTGGTCCACCTGTTGGTACAAAATGTATTATTTTTATCGATGATATTAGCATGCCTCAAAAAGAGTATTATGGTGCTCAACCTCCTATCGAACTTTTACGGCAATTCTTAGATAATTTTCCATGGTATGATTCTAAAGATCTTGTGACAATGTCTATCCAAGATGTGTTATTACTTTGTGCTATGGGTCCACCATCAGTAGGAAATTCAGTTTCACCTAGATTTAGTCGTCATTTTAATATTGTAATTATCAATGAGTTTGATGAAACAACAATGGTATCAATATTTAGTAAAATATTATTATGGCATTTAGATACAAGGTTTGAATGAATAATATCTATTTTACATAAAAAAAAAAATGTTTGTGATATGTGTAATATTTATGTAGAGGTTTTAGCAGAGAATTTGATTCATGCATGCATCAATTAGTTAACTCAACAATGGAACTTCATAAACGGAGTTTAAGTTATCTTCTTCCGACGCCTATTAAATCACATTATTTATTCAATTTAAGAGATTTTTCAAAAGTTATACAGGTACAACATTTTTATAAGTTAAGTATCAATAAATAAATAATAAAAAATGGTTTCAAAAATTTAAAAAATAAGTATTTAGTATAAATATTATTTTAAGGGAGTAATGTTTTCTGTACCTGAAACTATTGAAGATGCTATTGCTATGAAAAGACTATGGATTCACGAAGTTCTTAGGGTATACTATGATCGGTTAGTGAATGACTCTGATCGGACATGGTTTTTAGGTAACCTTCATTTAGTATGTAAAGAGTTTCTAAATGAGAACTTGAATGACATATTGATTCATTTAACTAGCGGGCAATGTGAAACTGTAATTTTTTTTATAATTTATTATAATATATAAGATCTTAAAATAAAACACTACCCATTAATAGATTGGTCAAAATGAGTTACGACAGTTAATTTATTGTGATTTTTCCAATCCTAAAGCGGACACAAGAAATTATATGGAAGTACTTAATTTAAATAATCTTCGATTGATTGTTGAAGGATATTTAAATGAATTTAATAACATGAGCAAAAAACCAATGCACTTAGTTTTATTTAAATTTGCTATTGAACATCTTTCAAGAATTTGTCGAATTCTTAAGCAACCTCGAGGACATGCTTTACTAATTGGTTTGGTTGGATCAGGACGAGAATCATTAGCAAGACTGGCTGCTCACATATCAGAATATGACTTATTTCAGGTATATTTGATAAAATGTTCTATTTTTATTTTTTTCAATTTTCAATTAATTTAGGTAACAATGACTCGACTGTATGGAATAAATGAATGGCATGAAGATTTAAAATGTATACTTAGCCGTGCAGTAACATCTCTCGACCAGCATGTTGTATTTTTATTTGACGACTCTGAAGTAGAAATATGAATAACAAATATTAAAATTTTGTAATTTAGATACCAACACTTTATTTTTTTTAATGTACAGATTAAAAATGAAAGAATGATAGAAGACATAAATAATTTATTAAATTCAGGGGAAGTACCAAATTTATATGCTATTGATGAAAAGATAGAATTGTGTGATAAAATTCGTATAATAGATAAACAGCGTGACAAATCTTTACAAGTATAACATACTATATAATATTATAATATACCTTCAAATTCAATTTTTTTTCAAATTGGGTGTCCTTCAATATGTTATCTACCACCACTTTTTCGGTTCAGCAAGTTATCTACCATATATAACACGTATTTTTAAAATTTTAAATTCAATAGGTAATACAAAATAGTATTAACAAAAGATATTTAGTATTATATACATACATATATATTTTAGATTCGGAGTGTAGCAAGGGATGTCATATGTATTTTTTTTATATTGTATACAAAATTAATACCAGAAATCTTGTTTCAATGTATTAAATGTAACATCTTTTTTGAAAGAAAATTTTTAGATTTTCCAAGTAGTTTTCCTAATAAATGGGAAAATTTACGAAATTTATTATTTTTAAGTCGTAAATATTACGGCCTTTCAAACCATATTTAACCGAACTCAGCTCAGAATCGCGTTAATTTTTGCGTACAGATGTACAAGAAATTTCTCCTCTATCTTCTCAATTATAAGAGTGGCTCACTCATCACACGAAAAAAGTGCATTTGTTGTTTTTTTTAAATTTGTTTTACAATGGAAAAAGCAGTTCTCTACACAAATTCCATTTCAGACATCTGGGTCAAAAATTTGTTGGGAAGCGAGACTGTTGATGATAGGCTAGGTGAAGAATTTGTTATGAGTTTTTTTTGTAGGTTTGAGTTGAGCACTATATATAGTTTGCTTTATGTCGGAACGCATAGGTCGTGATGTAAAGAAGCGTTTACGATATACCAAGGGACTGACGTAATTTGTCTCAGGCACATTGATTGGAAGACTTGAACAGTTTTTGTATTAGAAGGTTTTGTCGAGCCCCACAGTTAAATACCATAGTACCACGTGGGTTTCAGAAGTATCATGTGATCCATTAAAGTAGATATGCTCATTATCTCGGAAAGTATTAACCTTTTCCGGAATTAGTTTTCTAGAATATTTAAAAAATAAGCTACAATTTTATATCTATACTATTTTTTGTCGCCCTCATTTTTGGGGGTAAAACCACTTCCTACTTTTGATTTTTAAATGGCAACCTATATTAAAAATTCCATACATAGATGGAGTATTAGTTAAAATCAATTTTAGTGTTGTCATTTTTGACTTCCGTCAATCAGTTGACGAAATATTCCACTTTTAATTATGCCCCGTGTGTTAATAATGCACCACTACTCTCCTCCAACTCAAATTTAAAAGTGGAATATCTCGTCAATGGTCTTAAATGGATCACTCAGTACAATGTATATCATGCGTTTTGTTTTAAGAGAGAGTTTAGAGTGAAGTAAGAGTATGAATGAGTGAAGACGGCAAGACGCTAATTTAGAACTTTGAGCATGGTGCGTAAGTGAAACGTTTGTTAAATATTAAGGCAAGGTATTTCGTTTGAGAAGAGGTTAGAATTGGTGTCATAAATAAAGGTGGGCACTCCCAGATACGATTTGTTTTCGAGCGCCGAAGAAATATAATCAATGACTCTGTGCAGCTGATGGATTGTTGAGTGCCTAGCTTTAAAATCAAATTGGAAATCAGGTATAATCTTATTATCATTGGCAATTTTCACTATTATTTGTGATAGGAAACTATATTATATTATCGTATTTTATTTTTTTATTTTTCAAAAAAATGATATACGTGAACATTTTAAAAATGAATTGTCTTTTATGTATTAGTATTAAAAAAAATTATTCTGTTATTATGTTATCTTGTTAGTAAAATTTATTGATGCCTTAAATTAATGAATACCTATACATATAGGTATTAACCCAGAGACAAAGTCTGTATAAAAAACTATAACGTGGACCAAAAAATTGTCCATATCAGTGGCACCGAATTAGTTTTTAGTAGGTGATGCAAACACATATTTTAACCTCTTACCCACCCCTACCTAGAAAAAAATTATTTTCAATTATTCCAAAGTTAAAATTTCTGCGATACTTTGGCACAATGGGCAACGACAAAAACACGTTGAAATAAATACACAGTCCTAATTTTCATACATTACACTTTTTATGAAGTTAATGTAATTACTAATTGTATCTATTATAGGTAGTCATAGTTTTATTTATTTGCATAATATATTTAATATATCTTTGTGTCTACAATTACTATTTACTTATTGACCTTTAATGGTCAAAGTATTATCATGTTCATATTAAGTTAGGTATTTACTATTTGATACCTACTGGCTACCAATAAGTGCCAGTTTTTCAAACTTATATAACTCCAGTACCCACACTCAATTTGCCCAATCCAAACATACCACTTTAAGTACGTATTCGGCGCCACTGGTTCGTATACGGCGTTTATTTTGCAAAAATCAATAATTGTACTAGATCTGAACCATACACCCAATGGTAAATACATACCTTGTACACCCTTTTTTAGGTTGAGCATAAAACTAATATTTATAATAGGTATCTGTTGTCCAATTTTCATGGCATTATATTTTATGATTTCAAAGTTTGATGATGCCTTTTCTATGTTCCAAGAGGTTTTCTTTTATTTTAACCTGAGGTTAGGGATATTACTCAACATTTGATTTAACAATGACATGTTAAATTGTTCGGCCTTGTTAATAGTTCTAAGTAGTCTTTCCAGTGCAAAAATGATGACAAAATATTGGTTAAGACTGGTAACCATTTCACGAGCTAGTATCTCACTAACAGCTATTAAGCAAAAACAACCCACTAGCATAATTAAAACCATCAACTAAGTACTGATACCTAGCAAAACGTGTACCTATATTTACATATTTTAAAAACCCTCTGAAAACAATATTGTTTTTAACTTTGCCAAACAAACATTTTTTTTCGGTAAAAAGCATATGGAATCAAAAATAGAATAGCTGCGGTATATATTGTCACAGCGGTAGATAACATATTGAACCACAGGTTCTTAATTTCCAAATTGTTTATATTTTTTGTTTATTTAAAAAAAAAATATAAAATTATTTTTACTATATGTTAAATAGACTGATGGTAGCATGATAGCTATTTTTAACTATTTTATTCAAATTATAAAGGAACAACTCCATATTATACTAACATTCAGTCCAATAGAAAATAATTTTCGAACAAGAATAAGACAATTTCGATCGTTAGTTCAAGGTTGTACAATTGATTGGTTTCAGGTAAAGATATATTATTCCTATACTATGAACTTTTAATATAGATAGTGACGTAGTGTATTTTTTTGTTTTTGAAACAAAACATTTGAAGTATTAGGTATAATTGATTCAAATTGTATTAACACAAGTATTTCACTTAGTATAATAATAGAAATATGATTAATATTACAAAACTATAGGTAGATAATTTAGAAAGAACAGAAAGTCGCTTTTAGATTTCCTGTTAGTTGCATTTTATTTCATTTAATGAATTTAATTTCAATGAATTATAATACTAGTATAAATTGTGATTGTTACATTAATATATTTGTCTTCAGAATTGGCCAGCAGATGCATTGTTGGCTGTTGCAACTCACTTTTTGGATGCAATTGATTTAACTGAACCTGAGCGTAAAGTTTGCGTTAAAATGTGTCAAAAGTTTCATATGTCAATTCAGGTTTTATCTATTGAATTCGAAATTAGACTACAGCGTAAAACTTATGTTACATCAGTGTCTTATTTAGAACTAATGTCTACTTTTAAAGATTTATTGGACAAAAAAAGACAGTAAATTAATTAACTAAATTAATTTTAGATTTAATATATTAACAATGATATTATTTCAATAGGGAAATACTTATGGCAAAACGTCGTTATGAAGTAGGCTTGGAAAAATTACAAACTGCTACTGATGATATATTAATTATGCAAGAGGAATTAAAAGATTTGCAACCAAAAATCATGGTAGCTACAGGAGAAGTTAAAAATATAATGCAGCAAGTTGAAAAAAAAAATCAAGAAATTTCTAAAATAAAGCAACTTATTAAAAAAGATGAAGAAAAAGTACATGAAACGGCAGAGGAATCACAAAAAATTAAATATGAGTGTGATTTTCATATGGAAGCAGCAAGACCTGCATTAAATGCTGCTTTAGCGGCATTAAATACATTAACACCTAATGATATAACTAATTTAAAATCTATGAAAAATCCCCCAAAACCTGTAAAATTAGTCATGGAAGCTGTTTGTGTTATAAAAGATGCAAAACCAGAAAAAATCTTGGATTCAGTTACTGGGAAAACTACAGAAGACTATTGGCCAGTGTCAAAAAAAATACTTAACGATATAAAATTTTTAGAGCACTTAATAAGTTTTGATAAGGATAATATCTCGCCAAAAATAATGAAAGTTATAAATGAAAAATATTTATCTAATCCTGAATTCGATCCAGAAAAAATAAAAAATGCTTCAATAGTTGCCCAAGGTTTATGTAAATGGGTAATCGCTATATCAAGTTATGATGTGGTAGCAAAAGAAATTGGACCAAAAAAATTAGCACTTGTTGAAGCTGAGACAATATATAATAAAGCTATGGTTACACTAAATGAAAAGCGTGAACAATTAGTTGAAGTTGAAAAAACAATGAATGCTGTTCAAGACGATCTTGAAGAAAGTGAACGTAAAATGAAAGCATTTCAGGATGAATCTAATGCTGTTCAAACGAAACTTCAGCGAGCTGAAGATTTGATTGGAGGATTATGTGTTGAAAAACAACGTTGGGAACACATGACAATACACCTTGGAAAGTTGTATTTAAATCTTACAGGTTCACAAGATAGTATTAAATACTAATACAACCATTTTTGTCGGAAAGTATTACAACAAAACTTGTTTTTAGGAGATATATTATTGAGTTCTGGTATAATTGCATATTTGGGTCCGTTTACTATGGATTTTCGAAATAAACAAATAAAACTTTGGATTCAAGATATTATTAATAATGACTTAATTTGTACTAAACATTTTCAACTAAGTACAGTATTAGGAAACTCCATAGATATCAGAGCATGGAATATAGCTGGATTACCCACTGATTCTTTTTCAACGGATAATGGAATTATCGTAGTGTAAGTTGTTTTATTATAAGAATAAATTATAAGTAAAATATAATATATTTATTTTATATTATATAAAATAAAATCATTAATATAATGTTTTTACTGTAGAAATGCTAGGCGATCAGCTCTTATGATTGATCCCCAAAACCAAGCGAATAAATGGATAAAAAATATGGAGATGGATAACTCATTAAGTATTATACGTTTCACTACACCTAATTATATAAAAGTATTGGAACATGCTATTTCTAATGGACAACCAGTAATGAAATATACCATCATAATATAACGACAATTATTTTATAAATGACTTATGTAGGTTGTATAAATCATTTATTCCAGGTATTGTTAGAAAACATTTACGAAGAATTAGACCCACTGTTGGATCCCTTGTTATTAAATCAAATATTTATAAGTGGAGGTACATATTGTTTAAAGTTAGGAGATACAATAATTGAATACAATAATCGGTTCAGGTGATAATATAAAACTAATGTACTTATTTTATTATAAATCATAATAATGAGGGTAATTTAATTTCATTAAAATTTAGGCTTTATATTACTACCAAACTTAAAAATCCTCATTATTTGCCTGATATAGCAGTTAAAGTAGTTATTTTAAACTTTGTGTTAACTCCAGATGGGTTTGAAAATCAACTATTAAATGTTGTTGTTACTAAAGATCGATTAGATTTAGAAACAGAAAAAAATCAGCTAATACTACAAGGAGCTGAAAATGCTAGGTAACCAATATGAGAATTTTAATTATCCATATATAGGTAATTTAATTACATAGTAAATATTTTATATGCAGATCTTTAAAAGATATTGAAGATAACATTTTGCAAGTTTTAAGTTCTTCTGAGGGTAATATTTTAGAAGATGAAGAAGCAGTAAACATATTAAGTTCATCCATAATGCTGGCCAATGAAAGTAATGTTAAACAAACTGAAGCTAAGATTACTGAACAAACTATTGACAAAACTAGACATCAATATCGGAGTGTTGCTATTTATTGCGCTAAACTATTTTCTATAATTGATTCATTGACCAACATTAATCCAATGTATCAATATTCATTAACATGGTTTGTAAATTTATTTGTGAAAGCTGTAGAAAATAGTCCCAAACGTGATAAAATTGAGGAACGTACAGAAGCACTTAATAAGTACTTTACTTATTCCTTGTATGTCAATATTTGCAGAAGTTTACTTGAAAAAGTTATTATTAATTATTTATAATTTTAAAATTGATGTGTATTTAAATAACTCTATTGATTGTTGTAGGATAAGTTACTGTTTTCATTAATCATAGTTGTCATGCAATCTAAAGAAATCAGTCCAGAAGAGTGGCTATTTTTTTTGACAGGTGGAAATAGTTTACATAATACTAATACAATAAAAAATAACATTAGTTGGTTACAAGATAAAAGTTGGGATGAACTTTGCAGACTTGAAAACCTAACAAAATTTAAAGTACCTAGTATATTTTACTTTAGTTAGCATGTATGTCTAGTATATAATAATTAGGGCACATTGCATTTGCAACTTTTATTCTATTTCTCCAATTCATTGCTAAGTAGGTAAGTTTTAACTGCTTTGTGTGTACACATTTTTTGAAAAAAAAAAAAAAAAAATCTAAAACTCTAAAAATTTTAAAAGCAATATTTTGCAATTTTTCCAATTTTGTTGACTACCTCATTTATGTAAAACAATTTTAACTATTTTTTAATTTTTTCACGTAATTTTATTTTTCTTATACTTGTTAAACGGTTTTATAAAAATTCCATGGAATAAAATTATTAAATTGCTTTGAGCCTAAATTACATGATGTACCTATTGATGTACATGATTGGTATATTGTTTCAATAACTTTTTGAATATTTTCCGTTAACATTATTTTATGTATACCGTGGAAACGGAAATTTAATTATTTTTAAAATCGTCATACTGCGATTATCATATTCGTCGTTTACACAATGCGTATAGATAAGATTATATTTACATAAAAATAATTTGTGAAACGTTTACAATCTGTTCTTCAGTCATTCAGTAATTTTCGTGTTTTTTTCGATACAATTTTTAATTTTTTAAGCGTATTTTTTAATGCAATATTTCATTCAATTTTACTATTTTTTGATTTCGACATACGTGTCCTAATAATAAAGTACCTAATATTTGTCTATATGTATATATATATTAGGATTAGGTGTAGTTCTTATTATTCCAATATTGAAATTTGTTCGGTCTATCCCTCCAAATTAGTTCCAATATGCATAAAAATATCGTATACATAATTTCAAGTCAATTGGTTAAACCCGTGCTCCAAAACTCTCAAAATTCAAAAATAGGTTTTCTTTAAAACATCGTTCTTCTTTCTTTCATTTTTTGGTTAATACATCGTTATGATCAGTTTATATAATAAACATTATACAATATATATTAAACTTAAAGATTTAGGTATTCCTAATATTATATAGGTAATGCAGTGATAACATTTCAGTTTTTGAAGGAAGGGAGCAAAAGATTTGACTGGCCCATAATAAAATTGAAAAAATCCGCTCGCAAATTCATCCGTCACAATTACATTTTATCTCAATACAAATATCCTTATTACATCATTTTATACTTATTATTATAGGCATGAATAACCTATTTTTTCGAGGGACAACAATGATTAAATAATAAATATAAATGTAGAGGAATACTTAAATAGATTACCTATTAGTTATTATATGAAAATTTATTTAATTTAAGGTGAATTATTTTACCTTAATTTATGCTCTATTTGTATGCCTATACATATATATATATATATATGGAGTATACATGTATATATAAAATATAACCATGTCACCATAGCCATCAGTATACTTATAGAATAAATTAATTAAGAATAGACACTATCCAAAAATTTACATGGACTCTTATGAGAACCCGGCAATTTCATCTAAAGTGCAACCTACGTTAACAAAAAATACAATAAAAAAAATATTATATACAATTATCACAAATAAAAATTAAAAATAAAAACTGTAGCTCACAGTGGCTGTATGCAACATAAATCATGAATTATGTTTGCAAACTTGTGGCCCAAAACTAGCCCATACCCGACCCAATAGAGGTTCTTTGATGATACGGGGGAGAGGAGATAAATGCCTTCCATCTCTCTTCTAATTACGCCACTGAGGTTTTTATTAATTCAATTTTCAGAAATACAATACATAGTGCCTTTTTCATAATAGTGCTTTTAATGCTAGTTAAATATATATTCCGGTACTGTGTAACAACTTGTAGAGTATATTGTTTTTGAAATTAATTTTTTGAGTCTGTTCGATTAAAATCTTCCAATTTTTCAATTTAATAGCTCGTTCCACAGTGCCATTTACGGCTTTTAAATTGCGAACTATTTCATATCATTCTTTGTAGTCTATATTGTTTTGGCCAGAAGAAGGTGGTGAACCAATACAACAGAAATTGATATTAAGTCATTTAAAACAAATTTGGGTTTTAAACGAAATAGATTCTTCTATATCTTGACCTAAAATATTTGGTACTTCACAGTTTTTTAACTTTTAAAATTTTTCCACTGTACCATTATCTTCATTTTCATTAATAATCGTATTTTCAATTCTACTTAATGTTTGAGCCTTTTTATTTTTTATGTCGTTAAATTTACTGCGGTCGTCAAAAAATGCTAATGCAATTGTTTCAGTCGTTAAATACCAAAGATGACAAAAGAATGGCAAATTTGTTTAATATTACTTCTGATAATTTTTCGTTTATTTTTCTATAATCGTAAATACTGATTAAAAATTAAAAATTTCTTATGGGTAGCAAAATTAGCTTTTGAAGCATTATTGGACCACGTTTTAACACAATGTATACGATCAATAAAAATACAAACATCGGTCATCGATTGTTGACTGGTATTCTCTTTTATTTAAATTAAACTCTTTACGAAAAATGTAGGTATATCTTTAAACAATACATTTCTTTTGTCATTCAAAAAGCATGATGCATTGATTCTGGTGTTCCGTTCAAAAAATTAAAGTTACCTAGTTCAAGTAATTCACGATAATCTGGGAGAGTAGTGGTATTTGTAAGATTGTATGGCGTGCGACGTGTTAATAATGCACTACCATTCTCTCTCAACCCACACTTAAACTTCGTCAACAAATTGACGGAAATCAAAAATATTAATACCAACATTTATTTTAATTAATATTTCGTCTATTTATGGAATTTTTGATATAGATTGCCATTTAAAAATCAAAAATCGGAAGTGGTTTTACCCCCAAAAATAAGGGTGCCAAAAATTATACAAATAGAAAATTGTAGAGCAGCTTGTTTCTTAAATATTCTAGAAAACAAATTCCTGAAAAAGTAAATACTTTCCGAGATAACGAGTATTTTACGATACCCTTACGATAATTAGATTGATCACCCTGTATATCACTTTAATTACTTTAAAATATTAATTAAAATATTAGGTTTAAAATTTAATTTTAAACTCTTAAGCTAAACAATTTTATGATACAAACACATGAAAGTAAACAAAATAATAACACAATTAATAATTTTATTAGTTAACAAGGCCGTACCTGAGGGGTGATCATAGGGGTTTAATCCCCTCTTAAAAATTATTTGTGTTAATTTTGTCGTGGGAAAATAATTATTTTAGTCAACAAAATTGGAACAACACAAATTTTTATTTTATAATCCCCTCCCCCTAAATTATTTTCTAGTTACAATATTGTTAGTTAAAAAATTATTCAATAGAACCTACTAAAATATTGATTATCTGGGATTGACATACCGGTTTCTTCCTGTAGCTTTACTCTATTTTATACTGTAAAACGATAAAGTAAAGCTTTTATTAAGCTAATTGCTTAATTAATAAAATATAATACTATACTATACACATATTTCTTCTGGCAGTTTTTTTTTATTTCCCCGACTACTTTAAAATTACTTGATATTGTCTGGTTTTCCAGGTAGCATAGCAATTCTGTTCTAGTAATGATATATTATTTTTATTACATAGTTATATTGATTGACGATAAATATTTTTGTACTCTTCGTTATTATTCTTCATAGTCATCAAGTTTGGTACTAAAAACTATATACTGTTTATTGCTAATAAAATATCCATGTTTGGTGACTGTAATAAAGAAGTCGTATGTGATTCAATAAATACAACCTAAAAATAAAATCGAAACTTTTAAATTGTTGCTTTAGTCTCATGCCTTTTACACTAATTTCTGGAACACTGCTACATCATAGTTATCAAGTACAGATTTGACTGCTTTTGCTCGACACTCCAAGCAAGTAATTGAACATGACATTAATGTTAATAACTATAGTTTATGGTTATTGTACACAATGTTCTTTTTAATTAAAGTTGGTATAGACGGATACCTACAAATATGTTTTTAATTTTGATACTAATCACTACCACGATAACTAATACAATTTCCATGATTTCCACAAACATATTATTATACATTATGCATTATGTATACATAAATGTTTCCTATTCATCTTAAAAATGTCATGTCTAGGCCACGCTCAACCGACTCGCTCTGTACACACCACAAAATTGTAGTTGAATAGTTAAATGACAATTAAAATTAAAATAGAAATTAAACCATTACCTGTTTTCAGAAAAATAATTGTATTTAATAATAGTTTATAATTAAAGGGAATAAAATCTGATTTTGAGAACAATGAAGTCAAATGGAAACAAGTTTACGATTCACCTCTACTAAATTTAAGTAATTTCCCGGAACCTTGGAATACAGATTTAAATTATTTTCAAAAATGTCTTATTTTACGAATCATCAGACACGATAAAATTTTTTCTGCCGTTCAATATTTTATAGCAAGTAAGTATGCATTAAGAAAAATAAATAGGCATAAAGTATTTTTATACTTTCTATTATGTCTATTCTTATTTGAAGATGAATCTATTTTGGGAAGTAAATTTATTGAATCTCCACCATTTGATTTAGCTGCATCATTTGAAAATTCAAGTTGTGCTTCCCCTTTATTATTAATATTAACTCCAGGTGTTGATCCGACTACAATGTTATTTGAGTTTGCTGGCAAAATGGTAAAAATATTTAATTTATTTAAGAACTCTTAGTTTTAAGTATTAAATAATCCTTAAAAAATAATTTCATTTTTCCAAAATGTATTTTCTTTATACTTCAAGGGCTTTAGTTCTCGTTTCACAGTATTATCATTAGGTCAAGGTCAAGGTCAAATAGCTTCTAGAGTAATTGAAGAAGGGACACACACAGGGAATTGGGTATTGCTGCAAAATTGTCATTTAGATAAAGGTTGGATGTCCGAATTAGAAAAGGTAATTATTTTATTTGATAAAAATTGATTTGAAGAATTTTTTCCTTATAGATACCTACTTATTCTTGTAAAATATAATAACTGATTTCAATAATTTAAGTTTTATTGTTAGTAAATATATTAATAAAACGGTAATATCAATAGTAACATTGAATTCGACATATTTAAAACTTTTAGATTCTGAGTGTACCAAAGAATGTATTGGTTTTACAAAAATGTTTATTTTCTTGGAGTGATATTTTAGGGAGGTAATTTTTCGATTTTCTAAAGTTTTCTCATCAAATGAAAGAACCAGGAAAAAAACATGGGAAAACCGAGAAAAACGTTTTTCTGTTTTACTGTGCCATAATTTTCCGAATTCTTTTCCCCCTATTACCCTAACAAGGAAAAAGCAAATGCATTTTGGGTGTACCTAGAGTCTCAAGCCATCATTCACTTAGACTATTTTAATCGCAAAATACCCCTCGATTTGTTGTGTAAACTTTTCTACCAGAAATTTTGCTTCGATATATTAAGTGTAGTTTTTTTTTGAAAAAAATTTTTATTTACTTTAGGGAAGTCATTTTTTTTAATTTTTCAAGCGGTTTTCATAATATCCGGAATAAAATGTCGGAAAAACGGAAAATGTATGAAATGTGGGTATTAGTAAAATAATATGGCCTTTTTTTTTTTTCTGTATACAACTTTTCTACCAACAATTTTGCTTTTGTGATAGCACTTTTAGTGATAGGAAATCTGACTGGGAAAGTACTTAAGAAAAGTCATTATTCAAAACTCCCAAGAGTTTTCCAAACAAATGTGAAAAACCGGGAAAAAACAGGAATACCGAGAAAAACGCATGAAATCGGTACAATATTTTGGTAAAAAATATATTTGATACCTATTTAATTATTTTACCATAATATGCCATATAGATTTTTAACAAAGCATCACTATCAACTGAACTCCACTCAGAATCGGTTTTTCATAAGCATTGGTTTATGTTGCTTATAAATATATGTTATATTCCCGTCTGTATCCTACCTTCCTAACTTCCTATTTATAACAGTGGCTGCACTCGTCTCCATTATCCTAGAACATCTTTTTTAAATATATTTTGATATCATATATTTTGTATATATTTAGATATGTGAAAACCTCTCAATAGAAAATACAAATTCTGAGTTTAGACTTTGGTTAACTTCTTACCCAGTAAACTATTTTCCTGTGACTTTACTTCAAAATAGTATTAAAATAACTAATGAACCTCCGAAAGGACTTAAGGCTAATATATACAAGTATTATAAAATATTTTAAATTTTGCAGTAGGTACCTAGATATATGATTTGTGTTATTTGATATGTATTCTTTCAGATTATTTACTAGTGAGCCGATTGTGAATGCAGAATTTTTTGAGAGTTGTAAACAAAGTGAACATTTTAAGAAATTGATTTTCAGTCTATGCTTCTTTCATGCTTTGATTCAAGAGCGCCACAATTATGGTTCAATTGGATGGAATCATGTGTATGAGTTCAATGAAACAGACCTTAGAATCAGCATTGTACAATTACAGCATTTTCTAAATGAATATTCAAATGTTCAGTTTGATGCCTTGCGTTATCTAATTGGAGAATGTAATTATGGTGGACGTATAACAGACGATTGGGATCGCTGTTGTTTGAATACATGGTTTCAAAAATTCTACAACAAACAGATTATTAAAAAAAAGAATTTTAAATTTGATAAATCTGGTACTTAATACATATCAAATAAATAATATAAAATGACCAACTTATATACTGTAGTGTGCTCTTATTATCCTAGGAATTTATTATTGTCCTGATTTAAAAGACTACGAACAATTCATCCAGTATATTCAAGGATTACCATTGATTACAAAACATCATATATTTGGTCTACACAAAAACGCTGATCTTATTAAAGAGCGACATGAAAGTGAATTACTTCTGAATTCTGCTCTTAGCATACAAGTAAATTTAAGTATATTGGTAACTTATACATGTGTAATTAATTATGTTTATTTTACTAAATTTAAATGACTTAATAGGATCGAGTCGTAAGTAAAAATAATATCTGTTATTAGAATTTTAGTATGTTCAGTAATCTTGTTGATTAACTACTAAAGTAGTATATACCTAAAAGATTAATAATTTAAAAAGTAAATAAATACTGTTAAAAGTTTGTTACCAATGAATTATGATGATGGCACCTTCCTAATTGATATAATGATTTTAATATTATGCTGCTATATCTCAGGATTTATTTAATGAACATGAATTTAATTATGTAAGTAAAATATGTACATGTTATACTTAAGTACTAAGTACAAAAAATGTATTATCAATTAGTTAAAAATTTTAAAGCATGTGTGTAAATGTAACTTTACTATTATGAGGATAATAATTATTTTATATTTATCAAATTTGACCTTTAAGGATTCAACTAGTGAGAGCCCAGAAACAATATTATCTCAAAATATGATTCTAGCATTTACTACAGATGTACTCAATCAATTACCAAAACATTTTGACACTGCACTTGCGCTCAAAAAATATCCTATGACTTATAACCAATCAATGAATACAATTCTGGTGCAGGAAATGGATCGCTTTAATAAACTACTGACAATCATTAAACTTACTCTAATTAATTTACAGAGAGCTGTTAAAGGTAAATACTTATATTACTTTTATAAATATATGCATAGTTATACCAATACCAGAGCAGCTCAAAATCAGACTTGATTTAAAAGAAGGAAATCATAATTCTTAAAACTGTAATGCACTATAAATTACATCTACAGATTATGTAGTATGCCAACTAAATAGTACACATAATTACTTAGTGGGTTACAATTACATATGGGTCATTAGGTTGATATGGAAAAGTTTTTTGGAAAAAAACAGACCTGGGATATGTATATGATGTAACGTATTTGATGAGCATGGTGGGTGGTTGCCAAGTTCACCCATAGTGGTGCAGAACTTATGATGTAGTGATGCAAATTATATTTATCTGTGTAAAATGTTGTTTACCAATTAAAAAGGAAATGGAATTGAATTCACATTTGATGAGTTATCCTTATTATCGTTAAGTCATGTTTATTAATAAAAATGGTCGTATTCCTTCCCCCAAGGTCACTATCAGACAGATTAGTAGACAAGTCTTATTATTAAATCTGGTTTATAAAATTGGAAAATCAGTACTCTTATGTCGGCAGTACACATTCTGCAAGACACTGAGAGAGCAGCTGAGCGCGAGAGTGAACTAGATGCGCTTGTATCATCTCACTGGCACTCGATCCGGAGGCCGTTTTTGGTGCCAGAGTCAAAGGATACAAGGCCAGTCGAGATGAGAACATAAAAATGCCAGTGCTTGTAAAACGAAGTAAACTGAAAGTGTACTGCGTGCACTTGCACTTCTTCGTCTCGCCTAAGTCTTGTCCAAATGTACTGCTGGTATAAGAAGTCAAAAATATTCATATATATAAAAATACAAAACAAAAAGTGTATGATTTACAAAAATTATCTTAGTTTAGGTATGTCATTTATTTAACACTATTACAGAATGCTATTAATCATTAATCATTACTAAATAAAACACACTTTAAATTTTTAAATTAGTAATTATTATTGTATACATAAGTACTTACAATTCATAAAATAAAAACAATAGTGTTATATCATAGATAACTATAGTTACTAAATAAAATATATGGTATAAAAAATATAAATTTTTAATTTCCTAAAAAAATTTAAATTGTTATGAACAACGTTATAACTTATAATTACAAGAAAATAATAGTTAACAAAAATAAAATATTTATGTAATAAAAAACCTAAAACTCTTAGTTATAATAATATCACTTTATCATTTTATATCTAGGATTAATTTTAATGACTAATGAACTAGAAGAAGTATATAGCAGTATTCTAATTGGTAAAATTCCAATGATTTGGGCTAATAGTTCATATCCATCACTTAAACCACTGGGAAGTTACATAAAAGACCTTATTCAGCGACTAGCATTTTTTCAGGCAAGTATGATATATAATTAGATAAATTATAATAAATGACACCATTATTAAACATTTTTACATTTTATTTAGAAATGGTATATTCAAGGTACTCCTACTTTATTTTGGATTTCTGGTTTTTATTTTACCCAAGCATTTTTAACTGGACTTCAACAAAATTTTGCAAGAAAGTTTAAAATACCTATACACTTGCTGACTTTTGATTATAAGGTGAACTTTTAAAGAGACATGTTTGATATGAAACAAAATCAAATATAAGTATTAATATAAATAATTTATTGAATTTAGATAAAATTATTTGAAATTGTTTAGAATGTTTCAAGAGAACATTCAAAATATTAAGAGATTATTAGGGAATATATAAGATGTGATATAAATGAGGTGGCGATAAAAAGGGAGATGTGGAGAATAAACTTCTATGCGATAAAAGCAATGGAGAAGAAGATCTTTTAAATCAAATTTGTTTTCATATATTATTATGCTTAAAATGTATGGTTTTGTTTCATAAATTTGTATTTATATGGATAACAGTTATATGCATTTGTTTAATATTTAATAAAATAATTTAACTAGATAATGGATAAAAAAGTCAAAATAAATTCAGCTCCAGAAAATGGAGTTTATGTCTATGGATTATTTTTGGATGGTGCTAGGTGGAGTAATAAAAAATCAAGTCTCCAAGAGTCTAAACCAAAGCATCTGTACGACAAAATGCCCACCATCCATATAATACCAATAGAAAAAGAAAATTTTAAATTAGACAAAGTTTATTTGTGTCCGATGTACAAAACTACTCAAAGAAAAGGTACATTATCTACTACGGGGCATTCCACAAATTTTGTTGTCACTGTATGGATACCTACAATGAAAAAACCAGAACATTGGATAATGAGAGGAGTTGCTCTGTTATGTCAGTTATCTCAGTAAATTGATTCAAAAATGTATTTAATAATTTTATTATAAAGATATACAATGATATTAAATTGTATATGGATAAGTAGCTTGAATTTAAAATATTAATAAGCAGCAATTAGTTAAAAATTATATCTGTGAAAACAACTAAAGATATTATATAGAATAAGCTATAAAACCAAAAGTAGTTTTAAAATAGAATATTTTAATTTTAAACAATTAACTAGATGAGAATATTTAAAGTAGATGTGTTTAGTAAAAAACAAAAATACATTGAAAATATTGCAAAATTAAAATAAGTAAAATTGTATTAATATTCAACTACAACACATTTTACAATTGTTTATTTTAACAAATTATACAATATCTATAATATATTAATACAAATTATTCTGCGAAAATTTAGATATTTTTAATTATTTTCTACCAAATTACAGAAAAAAAAAAATTAAATCTACACATTTTCCCATTTTTTGTTGGTTATTCTCTATTTATTAAAATTACTAAAAGAAATGATCTTACTGTGACCTGCCCATTGCACCAATTAGATAAAAAACAATATCAAAGAAAATCTCTGTTAATAATGATTGAAACAAATCTGGAAATCATAGAAACAGTAAAAAAAAAAACATCAATCATAAATAACCAATATTTTCCTCGTTCCACTCATAATTTTAGAAAGAATAAATTTTCTATTCAACTATTAAATGAGATTCATAAAAAAATAAACACCAACTTTACTGTGTTTCTAAATAACTAACTATAAACACTTGAATGATCTTTATTAAATTCAGTATTGTTGGCATGTGCAATGCATCTTTGTTATCACTCGCTTTGTGCCAACATTTTGGAAATGGATGTGGAATCATATGAACTATTTCAATTCCTGTATGTATATACAAAAATAAAATAATAGTATTGCTTAAAAGTAGTATGAATATTTAGTGTTTACCTTTTTGAAGAAATGGTACATGATCATCATCAATTCTCAAAAATGAAGACATTGGGCGGAAATAGGCACTAGTATACTCATTCAAACAACCAGTCTTGTTCAAGGTTATTTCAGATGAAATTAATGATTTATAGAGATCAGTAGTTTCTAGGAAATAATTATAAAAATTTGGATTTTTTGTACCCAATAAATCTAGTAACATTAAAAACTCCTATAACAAAAAACTAAAATAAGCATTTATATTTATAAGAACAATAAAGAACTTACAATTCTATACAGTTGATTAATTTCACGTCCTTTGTGTACAAATGTAGTTCTTTCCATTTTTGAAGCTAAATGTCTTGAACCATAAAGAGAATCAGATTCAGACCATTCCACAAATGCTTCTTCGCCATCAAAAAATATCATCATCAAGCTTAAAGGCTAAATAAATTTAAATACAATTTTAATTAGGCACCTAAATTCAATCAATTTTTATTGAAAAAAATAACTATATTTTATTGTAAGTATACAATCTGTATATTAAAATTAATTACACATTTTAAATACAATATTTATATTTTAATAAATACAAATTAATAATCAAATAGATCAGCAACCTAATTGACTGACAAACTATAAAAAAAAAGAAACAAACTTATACATTGATGACTAAATATCATTAATTATTTTTATTATTAAAATTACAAGAATACCTATTAATTCTTTTTTTAAGTTATGTAAAAATGAGAAAATATCTAAAAATCATTAAATTTTTAAATACTTTAAGTACTTTTATTCAATAATTTATTTAACCTATAAATAATGTAACGCCCTAATTAAAAAAAAAAAAAAAAAAACCAAACTACTAATAATGACAAAACGATTCTGAAGGGAGTTCGGTTGAAAGTGTTACTTTGTCAATAATACAGGGTTTTTTATAAATAGGCAATTTATTAACCTTCCCTACTCTTCCAGTCTAAAATTTTAACTTTACATCTGATATTAGTGTTATACTTATCAAAATTTCTAGAAAAATATTTTCTATTCAAATCTGTATTCAAAAGGGGAAATTCCTATTGGAAAATCAAAAGTATGTACTTATCCAAGGTACATGGAACATGGGTAAGAAATTCAAAATGGTTTTAAAATAAAGTTTAAACAATTCCATAATGATTAGAATAAACAGAAATCAAATTCAATTAAAATCCTCAGAGATAAATGACTCTATATATATATGTCATATTATAGTAACATAATTATATTATGCATTGTATTTTCTTTAATAACATTTGTTGAATACTATATCAATTTTCCCATGTTTTTTATCATTCATTGGAAAAATTCTTGGGAAAATCAAAAAAATAAAATACTTCCCGAAAATACCTCCCCAGTCAAATTTCTTTTTAGAAAAAGTGCTATCCTTCTAAATCATATCAAAATTGCTGGTAGAAAAGTTGTCCACAGGAAAAAAAAAATATCATTGTAAAACTAATTACTTTCTCGCTTCACAGAGAGTCTAATCTAAATAGACATACTTAACACAATGGGTGGCCACTGTTGTAGGTGAGAAGATGGGAAGGTAGATGGAAAATTGAACGCATATCTGTACTCAAAGATTAATCATTGCTAACGAAAAACGTTTTTAAGCAGAGTTTGGTTATACATGTTTTGATTGGCAGTAATATTTATGATTTAAAAATTTAATTTCATACAATTTTCCTGTTTTTTTACATTGAAAACCCATAAAAACCTTTGGAAAATCAAAAAATTATCTTTTCAATTCCTTTTAGAAGAGGTGCTATCATTGTAAATCTCAAACAAAATTCCTGGTAGAAAAGTTGTCCACAGAAAAAAAAAGACACGATACATTTCATATATTTTCTCATGTGTTTGGAAAATTGGGAAAATCAAAAAATAAACTTTTAGTACCACTATCGTATAGCTCCGTTATCCATATAACAATAAATACATTGTTTAAATATAAAATAATTTAATAGAAAATATGTACTATTGTTATTAAATGCTTACCATAGATGTTTATCACAAATAATCAATAATATAATAAACCGATGTAGAAAATAATGAGTTTATTTATTGATATTTATTAATCTAATAATTTGATGATATATTGATGTATAGGAAATCATGGGAATCATGGAAAGCATAAACATTTTTTAACTTTATATCATTATTTTATATTTATTATTATTCCATTTTTTAATTTTAATTTTTTTTAATATTACATCAGTATATCGTCAAATTATTAGATTAATAAATATCAATAAATAAACTAATTATTTTCTATATAGGTTTATTATATTATTGATTATTTATGATAAACACCTATGTAAGCATGCACATAACAGTAATGGTACGTATTTTCTGTTAAATTATTTTATATTTTATTTGATGTATTTATTGTTATATGGATGGTAGGGCGACAATAAACCTGAGTGGCAGAGCTATAAAATTTTCATTCGCCATGACAAACCAGCACCAATGTTTAATACTATTATCATTGATAAGATTAATTTATATAAAACTTATTTGGAGTTCATATTTTGATGAAACTATATAAAGTAATATATTGTTAAAAAAAATCTAACACATGAGTGATAAGGGTTAAAAAGTTTCTGTTTTTAGAGTGTACTGTATTTGAAGGTTTTCTTAGAAATATGAATAATGAAAATATCACCAATCCTGAAAATATCACCAATCCTGAAAAAAGTCCACTATTTGAAGGTGTCCGTTATGGGAGGTTTCACTACATTATTTTTTAATTTGCTATAAAAAATAGATACTTAATTATTACATCAAAAATTTGAAAATACGAAATATAAAAATCAGACACTTAAAATTAAAAGATTTTTATAATAGTTTAATATACTAATGATTTATTTAACATACAATTTAAAAAAATATATAATTACGGTATTCTTGAAAGCTTCAAGTCGTTGGTTCAATGATTCTGCCATGTATATCATCATTGCACAGGGAACTGCCGAATCAGTGGCTCCCACAAAATAGAAATCCATTAATTTGGAATCATAATGGCAAGCAATAACCATATATCGATCAGCCATGGGGTTTAAAGTAGCTACAATATTAGTCATATTTAATATTCCATTTGGTGTTAGTGCTTTGAATTTATCAAGTTCCACTGTCCATCCATTTCTTTTCATTTCTTCTGCAATATACTAATTTTTTTAAATTAAAACTGTTAGATTCTACACAATACAATTTATATTTTGAATAACTGTTATTTTATTATATTTTATTTTTACTGTTTTTATAAATTCATGATTTTTTGTTCCAACTACTCTTTCTATTAACATTTCATCTAGAATTGGTTTAAATTTTTGTTCAATTCCCATGTGACATAATTTGTATATTGTATCTTGTGAAATAGTAATGCTCTAAAAAAAAAAAAAAATGATTATTAATTAAACATTCTATATTTTGATAAATACTAAATAATTTCTTTTATTTGAAATTGAACTAAAAATGGCAAATTGATATTTAAAATTAAATATCATATATCTGAAAATATTTTAATAATGTTTATTTATTTATATAGGTATCAATAGGTATGGCAATTTGAAATAAGTTTAAGTGTTTAAGAATAAGTTTAGAAATATCAGGCATAAAATAAATGTGAAACGAAAATAATTAAAATTTCTAAAGTGTAATAAATTTAAAAATCAATTATCACTTAGTTACCATATCGGTATTCTCTAGGACAGAGGTTGGAAACCTTTTAGTACAAATGAACCACTTTAAAAAAACAACTGCAACACCATGATTTTCAAAGTCCCAATGAAATTAAGATAAAAAACAAAAAACATACCATAGTACAAAAAACAACTAATATATTTTACTAAGCAATTTCATTGGGAATTGATAGGTATTAAAAACATAATAATGGGTCTTAAATTTAGAAAATTTTTATTTCATTAATATATTATTAAATTATTATTATAATTGTTTATACAAATATGCTACATTATTTAATTAGTCTCATTAAGACACAAAAATAAAAAAAAAACCAATCTGTCTAAAAAATGGGATTTTTGACACTGAATTTTTGTGCATAAATTATTCAAATCTGGAGAGTAGTCTGTAGTGTAAAAAAAATTATAATCAAATTTTAATCTATATTTTATGGCCTTATGGGTCTAGCTCTAAATCTAGAATGTCTAGATATTGATGCATTTTCCAAAGAGTTACAGATTGCATGTTCAGGAGCCACAGGTTCCAACTCCTTCCTAGAGGTATGATTATAAAACTATAAATTATAATATCCATTATTTTTTAAAACTGCATAGATGCATTACAATAATAAAATATTATGTATACATTTTGTTATTGAAGTGTGAGTATAATAACTTAAATGATTCATACATTTTAATTAACATTTGCTGTAAAACACTTGAATACACACATTTTTACTGAACTAGTGGGTAAATAAAAACACTGTAAATAAAAAAACACAAACAACTTTTATATTTGATATGTACAAATAGGTTTTAAATATAATTAAAATTTACTCAGGTAACGTTTTTATAGGTATCTAGATATTCTAGTGTGGATATTTAAATTTTCTTTATCTAATGAAAATGTTATTAATAATTACCTATTAATTAATAAATATATTCATACATATTTGTGCATTTAATATATTATATAAACTTTTTGAAGTATATTAAATATATAATTTTAGAAAGTGTGTCATCCAATCAAGTTATTAATATGTATTTGAGAATAACATCCTGATTTAATGTTGCAGTTTTATGACATAACAATAATTTTATTTTATAGAAAGTCTATAAAAATATTATGTAATTATACAATATTTAAATAAATTATTGCAGAAGAAAATTTAAAATATGGAAAAAGAACTAGTGAAAAGAGTAAAGAACTATTATATTTTCCTTATACAATTGTATTATTAAACATTCAATTAATCAACTGTTGCTCTAGTAAAATATATATCTAACAGCCATTAGAGTAAACACAATAAAAAATTGTATCATTGTATCATCATGTACATGATGCAGTTTAATACATATTATGCTGTAATAGTGATATCATACATCTGTGCTGTATAGTATATGTATAATATATTGTAAGGGGCCAAGTTTTCGAGGATTAAAGTCTTTTCTGAGTAAATTAAATTATACCAAATATATCAATTCTTGACTTTATATAAACTTGTTAATAATAACTATAATGTTCTAACATAATTATTTAAATTTTATCATTTATCATTTTAATTTTAAAAATATTCAATATAAAAATTACTTAATATTAAATATAGCCCTATTTAACATTATATATACTTTAACAAACAAATAATTGTCTTTTCTAAATATTTTCTTAATGTATTTTTACTTATATAAAGTTGTTGTGAAATTTCAAAATCTACGATTATATTTAATAGAAAAATGGTTAGTAGATAAAAAGATATATTATAATATATAATAAATATTTTTTGTATACACCTAAATATATGTAAAAACAAAAAGTGATCAGTTAAATAATTATAAATAGAATACATCATTATTATAATGGATATACGTAAATAATACATATAATAGTAATTATTTTGGAACTTGTATAATTTACCTGTTTGTTTCTGGAATTCGGCGTCAATGATAAGGTAATTACCATAATTCTCAAAAATATAAAAAACCAAGTTAATATTGACATTTTTAAATATATGCAAAATAGTTAATAGTTGATTGATGAATCAACGACCAACCTATAAACCGAAATGATAATATTAAAATAAGAGTGGTCCGTAGGAACTCCTTTGTGTACCATTAATTCTTTATTACTTATTAACTTTTTAAAATTTGAATTTATTGTAATTGGCAAACATTAGTATACTGATCGGTGTTTGTAAATTAAGTAACATTACAGCTTTGCAGATGACGTCACTACGTTAGATCCATGTTATCAATCAGTGGTTGTTTTTTTTAGGAGTGATAACTTAGTTAGTGGTTGGTAACTATTTTACTCTTAACATGGTAGGATTTAAAATATCGTACTTAAAATTTTTAATTTAAATCGTGCTTGTTACATGACAGATGTTGCTTGTTTATTATCCTTTATTAGTGCGTAATTAAAAATTAAAATAATATTATGAAATTTATTACCTAAAAGGCTAAAATTCTTACAGACTACTATACTGAAGTCTGAAAATTCTGTATAATGAACCAAGATATTATCGATATCCCTTGATCTAAATATTTTAAATCTAAACTGTAATTTACAAAAGTCAGAAATACGAAGTAACCTTTAATTTGTAAAACCGTTATTAATAATAATTATTACTATACTAGTTTATATTACTTGGTTTTCAATAAAACCATTGTTTCTAGTGAAGTGAAGTTAACAATGGGTTAGGTAAGGGTCTTGCAGAACTAAGCACCACCAAATACATAGCAAATAAGTTCAAAACATCGCTAAATAACTTATTATTATTCATAGCTAAATATTTAGCTTTGGATCAAATCAAAGAGATTACATAAATTTAGATGATTTTGACAAATGTGCAACAGTGTCATGATGCAAATGATTTCAAATGTCTTACAATTAGGGATGAACAAATACCACTTTTTACCGATATAAAACGGATACTTGAAATCTCAAACCTTGAGTCTATGTTAAAATCAACCGATATATAAAATGGTAGTGTTGTAAAGTATTTGAATAAAAGTATTAAAATATTCTTTTAATTACTTTTATTTCAGTAGTATTTGAATATTGCCTCTTGACACTTTTTTACTATTGAATATTTATATTTCTTTGATTCTAAATTTGTTTCTATTTGTAATTCTTGTTAAATAAAAATACTGTATCTATAAATAATATTAATCTTGATAGGGCTTCAACGTTATAGCAATTATATTATATATTTATCATTTATGGACCATTAAATGTCGATTTTTCTATTTATGGCTAAATTAAATTGGTTTTTTTTTATGTACAATATTCCACATCTTAGCAGTTCATCTGTAGACTATTCAGTGTTTGTGATGCAACTAAAATTAAAAAAAAAAATAACATGACTGATCAACATTATTAAAAACTCATGTTTATAAAATACAGTAATCAAATTTTTGATTAAAATAATTAATTTTTAAATAGGTAAATTACATTTTTTTTTTATTTGAAGATTATTTCAAATACTTTACTAAAGATTATATTTTAAATAAGTAGTTTTTAGAACACTATTGGTTTAAAACTCAATTTATTAATACTTTTTTCATAATCCAAAGACTTAAGTATTACCTAATGGAAAAAAAGAACAAAAATTTAAAATCTTTAAATTACTAATTTACAATTATTATGATTATTAATCATCAATGAATAAAATATAAAAGGTTTCCATTTACTAGGTATTAACTGATAATTCTATACATAGATAAAGAAAATAAATGGTTTTATAACATATCTCAACTATAAATCAGGGTTAAACTTGAAAATAACTTACAAATTGGTAAAGTTCAAATGTATATTTATTACTTCAGTAAGTTTTAAACAGTAGTGGTCAATTTTACTGTTGTGTTATTCTTTAAGTAAATAAAATTTAGTCTATTGAAAATTATACATGAAAAGTTAAGTAAATTTTATTGTGTTTTTATTTTAGTTAACATCTGTTGTCAGTCAAATAAATATTATTTCAATGGAAATTTTTAAATCAAATAAAGGTGGTGAGATGACTTTGAAAGGTATAGTTATACAATCAAGTACAATAGAAACAAATTATTTTACTTGATAGTGTTTAAGAAAGAATACTACAAATTGTCTTGGGATTTAGTTATGCATTTTCTAAAGTATCTCAGTTTCTGTTGACAGTTTGTTACTAAAAAAGTAAACAAAAGCAAACAATTAATTTTATTAAGAATATATTATACCCTACACATGGAATGCAACTCAATGGACAACATTAACTAGATTTCTTAAATGATTAGAGAAAACAGGTATTTGAGTATACACCGTGATAATTAATATTTGCTTTTATCAGTTTTAAACTTGGACTTAAAAGTGTGAAAGTGTATTGTTACGTAACTACTTAGTTTCGGCTATAAACAAAATAGGTATATACTGTAATGCTGGTTTCGGCATTATGCTATCATCATGTTACTCGGTTATAAGGATATTTGTTATGATATGCAATAAATAGAATATACAAAATAATTCTTTAATACTATTTTATTGTCAGAAATAAACAAAAAAAAAATAAGTAATATTGTATAAGAAATTTGTCGAGAAAGATCCTTAATCAAATTCTACAAATAAATAGTTCATGATCCATAATGAGACATCTTAAATTTTTTTTAAAAAATATATATATATATATGTAAATAATTTGTGTTGTTAAAAAGATGTCTTATGATAATGGGGACGGGAGTCATTGTTATTAATAATTTAAAAATGTGTGTATGCGTGTAAAGATGTAGAGTATTCAAAATTGGTTATATATACATTTTATCACAATTTAAGACAGGAGTTACTTATGTTTTTAACTATAAAAGATGGAAATAATCTGAATTCAACCTTTTTTTTTCTTTTTCTTCATTTTCGCAATTGGGTGGGCCACTGTTGTAGGTTAGAAGTTGGAAGGTAGACGAGGGGAAATATAATGTATATCTGTAAGCAACAATAAACCAATGATTATGAAAAATGATTCTGAGTAGCGTTCAGTTGATAATGATGCTTTGTCAACAATATTAAATTTTATTGTAAAATAATTAAATAGGTTTTATATATTTTCTTTAATAATATTTGTTTAATGCTATAGGTACTGATTTTCCTAGTTTTCCTAAGTTTTTCAAATTTTATGAGAAAACTCCCAAGAAAATCAAAAAATTGCCTCTTTAAAACACCTTCTTAGTGAAATTTTCATTTAGAACATTGTAATCTTTATAAGCTTGGGCAAAATTGCTGGTAGAAAAGTTGTGCATAGAAAAAAAGAGGGCAGGAATAAATTTTAACTACTACTTACATTTCTAATATTTCCCCGTTTTTTCTCAGTTATTTTGGTTTTTTATATTTGAAGAGAAAACTCCTGAGAAAATCAAAAAACGGACTCCCAACACTGATTTCCTTTCATAAAAGGTGTTACACTTCAATCTGAGCAAGTCTTCCGGTAGAAGTTGTGTAGAAAAAAAAAAAAATAATAAATTTCTTAGTAAAACTATAAGCTTCTTTGCTCTACAAAGAAACAAATATTATCCAAGTAAAAAGTAATTTATCTTAAATTTTATTTTTCATTGTTGAGCAATCTATTATTAATATTCACAGGATTCATAAAGGATTCACAAATTTGAATTAATTAATTATTAATATGAATTATATTATAATTAAATCATGAAAGAATAGACTGGTAACGAATGTCTATGAGAAAATAATTCTTAGTCCGTGATTTAAATGGCCCAACCTAATGATGAACGTACCATACATTTATATTCATTATAATAAATGCTATTTACTATTCATTTTAGTATATAGGTAACTAAAATTTTTTTTCCAAGTAAATTTGTTGTAGATGGTAATTACATATATAGCCCGTGATCCAATTACAGTGAATAGGAATATTCTGAGAAAATATTAGATATATTTCTAAAGAATTTGTTAGAGAAATATATAGTAATTATCTTTAAATTTTTTAAAAAAACCCATTTAGTGCAACAATTAAAATATTGTAGATTCAAATAGCACGTTAATAAAAATAACCTGTTATAAATCTGAGAATCAAAAACTTTCAGCTCTCAAAGAAATAATGCAAGAAAAAACGAATAAAAAAATTATATTAAAAGATTACTGGCAAATATTGAAGTGACCAAAACAACTTTGAGTCAAGAATATTTAAGTAAAAAAGGTAATGTTATTAAATTAATGGTAATGAATGATATGCATGTATTTGAAACAGAACTTATAATATTAAATCAAGATAATTTTTGGGCCAATATCAAACTCAAGTTGACCCACTGTTGGTAAAATTATAACATGTTTATTATTTAAAGATAAGTGCAGCTATCAGATTTATAATTTTCAAAAAGTAAATAATATGTAAAAAAAATTTGCAGTCTTAATTGTATTTTCATGTAATGGAACTTAAATTTAAATAAAAGAAAAATTATAAAAATAACACACTTAAATTATTACCTTAATTTTGAACATAAAAAAAATGTATAATTTGTATGAGGAATATAATAATAAATTAATGTAGTAGCAACAAATTATTGTTCGGGGGTTGTAGATTCTTCAAGTTTAGGAACTTTTTTTGGTGTTCCATCAGTTTCATCTTGTTTTGGTCTTTTGCGCACCAAATGACTGATATTAGTTGCCAGTGTAGTAGTTGATGACCCACTGCCATTTGTTTTTACTGCACTATTAGCACTTACAGCAGTCAGCAATGCGTCCATCATAGCTCTTTTACGTTCTTTGATATCTACAATTTTTTCCTGTATTTCAGGAATAACAGCTTTAACTTCAGCCATTTCTTCTATGGTTTCATTATTTTTATCAGTCAATTCTTCTAAAGTTTTAATTCTTTGATTCAAAACAGCTGTTGCTTCAGTTAATAATTCAATAGCTCGTTCGCTACTTCCACCCAACTCCTGTGCTAAACCCAATTGAAATAAAGTTTCTGCTATAATACGACTATCCTCTGGTAATAGCAACCTATACAAATTACATTGAATAATACATTATTAGGCATTTTAAACAAATTTGAAAAGTTGTACTCACCTTCTAATCTGTAATGATTCTGTCATATCTTCAAAGGCTGTTTCAAATTTTTCATCTTCAATGCTAACTTCTCCACACTTCATTAAAACTTCAGCAAGTTTCAGTTTTGATTCTTCCGTATCTTTGTTCTTATAAATAACTTTGGCCAAATCAAGCATTTCCCAAGCGAGTTGTAAATCATTTACATCATCTTCAACTTCTTCATCTGGTTTCTCTTCTTCGTCAACAGACATTTCTTCGTCAGCAGACATTTCTTCTTCATTTAAATTTGTTTCTACTTTATTAGTTAATTCATCTTCTACGTTACCTGGGTTTTCTTCCTTTTCAGTCACTTTATTTTCTAGTTCATCTGATTTTTTTTCCTTTTCAGATAATTTTTCTTCTAATTCAACTTGTTTTTCTTCCATTTCAGTTAATACTTTTTCAGGTGATTTTTCTTGTACTTCATTTGTGCCATCAAATGTAGTCTCTTTGTTAATAACATTAATTTGGTTGGTTTCAGTTAAACTTTTTTCTTCAGTAGAATCATTTTCATGTTCATCTTTTTTTTCTTCAAGTCCAATAGGATTTATTTCAACTTTACTAAGTTCAAGAAGAGCGCATCCATACATAAAATAAGCTTCTGCACATTCTTCAGCCATTTCACCATAAACAGTTCCAAAAAGACTGCAAGCTTCACTTAAAACGGTTGCAGCTGCTTGAAAATCTTTAACTATAAAATTACGTTTACCATCTATTAGAAGTTCATCAGCTTGCTTTTTTTGTTTTTCAACATCGTCAATAATAGGTTCCTGATTTTCCTTATTTTCTTGTTCAGATAATTCATCTGGAACTTTTGATTTATCATTTAACTGCACTTCGTCTTCTATTTTTATTTCTTGAGAATTACTTTCATTTTTCATAGATTTTATATCAAATTGTTCAATATTTTCTTTTGCATCTACACTAATATCGTTTTCTTTTTGAATTACTTCAGAAGGCATTTTTATCTGAAAATAAATTAATGATTTTATTATTTATTTGAGTAATAATATTGAAATTTGAAAAATTAAAATATGTTAATACAAATTTAGAAAGTAGGATTTTAAGTTCACTTTATATTTTTTGTATATAGAATTAATAAGTTATAATAGAACACATAACTAAAATTTAAGAAAATAGTAATTATGTTATACCTATATGTTTTCAATTTTAAATGTTGAGAACTAAACCTTCTCAGATTATCTTTGCCAAAGCTGTAATATCAATGACAGATAACTCAGAAAATTGTCTTAAGCACCACACTCCAAAGTAAATATTAAGATAAAGAAATTTCTAAAAATTATTTAATCAGTTTTAAAATTGAATAACAAAAAGTTTTTTCCTTTAACTTAGGGTTTCAAAATCTAGTGATGACATTGGGATATTTGCACAGCATATTTATTTTTAATTTGATATCATATTTAAAAGTTTGGAACTTAAATAATAAATTAACATTAAAAATTGTCATACCACTTTACCAAAATACTTCTAATTACTTCTTATGTTTTAAATGATTTTTGGGATTTATCTTTAGGTATTTGGTTATACAAACTAGGGGTATCAACTGATAGATAATAGAATAATGGATAAGTCATTTTTATAGGTACTAATTATAATTTTATCTACCTAGTACTAGTTTAAAATTTATATGGTACACGGTTATCTTAGATCGTGGTCTTTAGAGTTTAGATAGATTTAATAAAGGTAATGAGTGAAAAATGTTTTCTGAAAATACGGTTTTACTGTAAAGTTATATTTAAGTTGGCAATCCGTGTCGTTAGGTTTATTAGAGCTTGGCGCCCTTTATACCCCAGTTCCAGATATTATAGATCGGGGTAAACGTGCTTGTATGTACACTGGAGTCTAATAGTCTACACAGCACCTAGCTATAGCTTAGTTGTTTAGTAATCGTGTGCGATTTAAAGGAATTAACTGAGTTAAATACTGCTTAGTACCTACCAACTACTAAAAATATACATACACGGTATTTATTTAATAATAATAACGTAATGTTAGTTAAGGTTACATTTTTTAAATATTATTGATCATGGGTTTTTTGTTTTAATACCCTATAATTATTAAAACAAACGATAAATATAATTTATAAACAACACACGAAGTGGGTGTCAAATTTATAAATATATACTTAATTTTAGTACACACGTACTTATTTATTAGTTTTATTAGAAATAAAAAAGTAAGCACACAATAATATATAGTTAGTAGAGATAGGAAAGGTAGGTAAATATTGATTTATTTTATACGTTATATTAATCATGAAAAATGCATTAAATCTTGAAAATTAACAATTATAAACAAATAAAATATAACGGAATTATGTAGGTATTATATTATAGATAGGAGTTAAATTTACTTACGTGTTCCAATAAATTGGGATCCACGCTAATTTTCAAGGTCAATATGCATATTTTATCTGTATAAATAAATATATTATAATTTTGGAATTACACAAGCGTGGTGTATTCTTATAAATATACCTAATGCCTAGTTATTTTATCTAAATTTAAAAATATATATATATTTAATTGATAATAATAATTTACAAAGATTTAATGCATTAGGCGGTTATTAATAACATAAATATTGAAATAGGGTAAGACCCTAATACGTGGAGAATAAAATTGAACTTTATCATTGATAGGAGACTATCAGCAATGCAAATGAAATGTTCACATTTTTCGCACAATATGTTGCGTCATTAAACATCAGCTTCCATCAACAAAATATGTCTTTACCTACTCATAGATGGTAAATAATATCATCAAATACAATTTATAAATTATTGTTATACTATTAAATAAATACCTATCTAATACCTACAGAAATATACCAACTATTGAACCGATTTTTATATATATCGGAAAAAACGATTTGATAAAATATCTATCATCCCAACAATTTCTTAGTTAAATTTGATTTCGATTTTTTTCATTTAGCAATTAATGATTATTATGGAAGCATTGAAGGATTTTATTTATACATATTATGATTTTTAAATAGGAATCCATATTTTTAACCCAGGTTGGAATATATTTTTGTTTAAAACAATATAAGTGTTCAATGCAGAATAATAAAATTTAGAAAGATAAACATTTATAACTATTTTTAGTTATCCATACACATTCCCTACTAAGCTAATCTGAACTTATAATTAATAAACAATATTAATCGAAGTTTATGAACATTACATTTTTCAGAAAAATTATTTTTATTCACATTAACAAAAATTTAAATGCGAGTTGTCATTATTTAAAGAGCCCGCATATTGCTCAAAAACAAGTTTTACAGGAAAAACTCTTATGCCTTGTAAAATGGTCCGATTTCATAACATGTCCACGGTCCATTGTATTAGTAATATCTTGTAAATGATGGCAAGCAATTAAATTGTATTTTAAGCAATATTAATTCATACGATTTCTTTGAACTAGATTAATTTTAAAATATCGACCATGGATACAGTAACGGTTCATTATTGGACAAATGAACCTCGGGGATGCTCATCAATGCAACCACTTTCACTTATACTCACAATCACTCTAATACTTTCATCGTGTACAACATTAATGTTATGTATGTCGGTCTGGACTGATCATTGGGAAATTATAGAATGGGATTTTCAAGAGGTAAGTTTTCTAATATTTAAAATGTTAGTATATACTTATAGCACGTACTTATATCATTTCCAATAAATTTAAATGTTTAGGCATTATCGGTTCTAAGAACACAAAATAAATCATCTAAATGGTTAAATAACATAAAAACAGAATGGCTAGTAAATGGAACTGCATTAAAAATTACAATTGCTGCAGCGAAATCAGCGCCAATCAATAATGGAGATGCTTTATTAGTTTTGTCTACAACTAATCAATACCATCCAATGAATTTTTATGACATACATGCACTACTATACCAAACAAGAGACACTACAGTAATATTAGCTCCAATGTACGGAGGAATCTGGACTTTATGCATTTCCTTAACAGGTATTTAACAGATGGTTATAATAATATAGTAGTATATAATAATGTGAAACAAAGAGCTGGACAAAATAGTGTTCAATCCAATGGATAATTAAAATTCTTATTATTTTTATTCATCAAAATTTTTTTTATAGTATGTGTATAATACAAGTAATATGAATTATAATTTTAAAATTAGAACAATGAAATTAACAAAAAATTAAAATAAAAAAATGTCGAAGACTAATACTCAATTATATAAATAATTTAAAATTTCAAAATGTAATTTTGTAAAACCCGAGTTTAGACAAATCTTTAAAATCATTAAGAGATATTAAATTTTGTTTAAGTTAAAAATTATTTTTAACATTTAAATTATCGCCTTAAAGATTTTTCCACTAATTTTTTAAAATAGATGAAGATCATTCTACAGACCTTACAGTGGATTATTTGAAGGGTGTTTTTTACAAAAATAAACTAAGATAATTAAATAATTGTTAGAATTTTTCTAGGGTTAGGATCCTTTGGGTAAAATAACCTAGGTGTCCATGTATAATATATACATATTTGTGTGTATGTGAATTGTATTTTTTTAGATGATCAATTAATGCAACTGTATAGAGAAACTTATCAAAAATTAACTGTGCTACCAAAATGTATAAATTATTTAGCTGAAGAATCCCAAGAAGAAGAATATTTTAAACCAGACTGGCATTATAGTAGGTTAAAACATAAATACTATAACTATGTTATAAATATATATTTTACTTTTAAAGTTCCCTACATAATAATGTTATACATAAAATGCATAGAATAGTGAAGTAAAATGTAGTCACAAAATTATTGAATGTACAGTATTTCAAATAAGTATATAATATATTATATTATATAAGTGTTTTACTGAATCAATATTATAACAATAATAATAATATTTGTTAACACCCGCAAGGGGTAGAGTACAGTGATATTAAAATGCTTAAAAAATAATTGTATATGATAACTGATAAGATACAATTACATAAATACAAGAAATTTTAATTTAAAAGAAGAATCAAAATTTAAGTCAAAATTGACAGGTTTATTCTTAGGCAAGCAGTATAACTGACTGTTTATAATGTAATTTTGGATACTGGGGGAATATAATAACATAAAATATTTCTAGAGTTAAAAGCAGGGACCCTAAGACAAATTTGAGATAAGAACTCCAGACAATCAATCATACAGTTTATTAACTTGTACACTAACACGATGTCATACTTTCAACGAATAGCTGCTAATAGTACAAGGCCAATACGGTTAGCAATACCTGAAGAAGGCATATTTAAAAAGCCCATTTTATAACCAAACATATGTATAAAATGTCTCTAAGAGCTTATCAAGATTTTCAATTTGACTAAACGAAGACAGATTCTTAATTACAGACCCAAATTCTAAGATAGACCCCACTAATGCATGGTACAGTAAAATATTTTCCAACTATCAAATTGGCACAATTATGATTTAAACAAGTTTTACCTATTTGTGTAAAATTAGTATTTTTTTTTAACACAAATGTAAATTAAAACGAATAAAATAATTATTTACTAAGAATACTTGTTACCTATCAGTTTCTAATTTTAGATAAATAGTTGATTAAATTGAAATATTTTATTAAGAAATTGAACTATATATTTTTAAACTATTAAATGTTTAAGGAATGCAAAATGTGTCAATATCATGTGGATTAGTATGTATAATAATCACTTTAACGGCATCATTAATTGGACTATTTTCTATTTTTGGTCACCAAGTTAGTGCTATGTTAATCACTGCCGTAATGTATTTATTAGCAGGTAATTATAATTACAGCCATTAAATAATTATATACTTAAATAATATGAATTACCTAATAAGATACAATTGGTGTATTACTATTAATCCCTAGTAATAATAAGTTTAGTTTATTGTCATAAATAAATATAATTACATGCAGATAAAGAAATTTAAATAAATACAAATTATGACGCTGCCCCAAAAGCAATAGCTTGTGGTGGGTGCAATAAGTTCAAAAACAACATTATATTAAAAAAATAAATAATATATTATTGTTACATAAAAAAAAAAATCGAATTATCATCTATAAAGATTATATATAAAATTTAAAAAAAAAAGGAGAAATTAAATTTTTAATGTTATTCTAGTGTTATATGGTTTAGATTAATTTTATTTAAATATTTTTTATAATGAGACTTACTTTTATACAAAGTTAAATTAATAATAAGCATAATATATAAATAACCATTTTCCTACAAAATTCCTTATGGATTACTGGCATATTACAATTTACTGATTGTTTTAGGCGTGTTTGATAAGAATGTGATGGGGATTCAGCAGCGGATCCAAACATTTTTTTAAAGAGGGGGCACATTATTTATATTTTCAGTAAATTAATTATAAATTATATATCAAATTAATACATAAAATATATAAATAAAAACCGTAGTCCATTGACATGGGGGTCACGTGCCCCTGCTGTTGGATATGTTAAATATTACAGAAGCAGTGAACGTATTTAACTTATCTATAATAATAGCATAACCAATGATACATCTGAATGAATAAAAAGTAATTTAATAATAGAATATTTCTAAATCTAATGAAGACTTTTATTTTTACAGATTATTTAAATTTGTCTAATCTAAAATTTAGTTTTTGTTAACAAATATCATTTTAAAATATAAAATTGATCAAAGTTGAGAATAATATTTTGTATGATAAATGCAATAAGAAAAACCATATATTTAATATTATTACATGGCAATTCTAATTGTTTAGAATTAATTTAGTTTTCATTATTGTTGTTAAAGGAAAATTGCGGATGATTGTTTAAAACATTATGGCCTATTTTTTTTTAGCTACTTTTGGTTTGTTTACATTGGGAATAATGCATAATAAACATAATTCAAGGAAAACGTATAGTCAATATAATTGTAACCGAACACTAGCACTCATAGATGGAATGATCAATGTGGGAGGAAATATGTGTCAAACAATGCATTTTTGGGAACAACTACTAACTGCTAAACTATATTCACTAGGTTGGAGTGTGAATATGGGATGGACAGCAGTTATGTTAAGTATTTTAACTAGCTTTTTATGGATAGTTTTATCTAAAGTTATGAGACAGTTACCATTAAATACTACTTCAAATCACTAAAATTACCACTTTAACTGTTTGTATTCAATTTTAAATAAAATATTTATGTATAATTTATAAATTAAAAAATAACCATCTCAAAAAGTTTATTTTTATACACTTTTAAAGCACTATTACATAATACTTAGTAATATTAGTTTTTTTTTTTAAATAAAGTCAAAATAATATGCTAAATACATCGCAAATGTAAATAATAAAATATAATTAATTTTATATTTTATATACATATTATTTATATTATGCTTGTAAACAAGTTAAATCAAAATAAAATACTTTACATTTAATATGGTGCTGTGAGCTGTCTACATAGAAATTATTATCTATCAATATGATATTGATAATTAATAACTAATAATAATATCAAATTACCACCTTCAAGAACGCAACTGGAAAAGTGTAATAATACAACTCTACAAATAGACGTTGCTCATAGTTGTGAGCCGTTTTGTTTTCACAATAGATAGTATGGCATGAAAAATAATAAAAATAATGTTTTTTAAATAGTTTAAAATGGAAATAATACATCAATTTTTTCCATTCTGATAATAATAAATGATACAGAACACCCGGTATGGCAAGAAAAAATATATTAAATAACATTCAAACAAACATATTAGATATATTTTCTAAATTATAATTTTTTTTTTAAAATTCTAACTTATTTTATAATAACAGTAACAGGCAAAATTAATATTAGTATGTAAAACAGTCCCTGGACTTTTATTCCTAATTTCAGCATAAGTAGTGTTTAGATTACAACCATGGTGTCACAAAATTGTGAACGCTATGTCATCAATCAACATAATTAGTCAAAATAGGTTTACAACAAATGTGTAATCATTTAAACTTGATATAATTCAGGGAAAATAGGAAAAATGTGTTGGCAAATTTGCAATAATTCATTGGTTGTAATAATAATGTAATTAACAAGAAATTCATTATTTATGTAAATTGTACTTATTTTTTTTTATGGATTATAGTTAAAAAATAATATTCCAAATTCTTGAGATAGATATGTTTAAACCAACTAATGGATTCTACAAAAAAAAAATAGTTTGAATACCGGTTTTATAATGTAAGAAAATATAACATTATTCACTAGGAATGGTATGAATTATTTTTTGCCGCTAAGATTCACATTAGAAGAAAGAATTCAAATTTTGAAGTATGCTTGCTTGAATGATTACTTAATTTAGTTTTATTTTTTATAATTTCTGACCAGTGGCGCCAAACATGGGTATCAACTGCGGAAAATTCCCCAGAAGTATTTATGGGTGAGTCAGGAGGGTAGGTGGGAGATCATTTTAATATTATGATAATTTAACAATAATGGAAAGTATAAATAATGGGCAATAATAGTATGGCAGATTACTAGACAGTATAGCACTATTATAATATAGTCGTTAATTTGTACCCATTGATGCTTGATAGTAGGTAGTGAAAATATATAAAAAATTGTTTTGTTTCCATTAGTTCATCAGAATTATGTCTGTCATAATGTACGTCACGAGGTTCATGTTAAAGCGGAGGGCAAGCACGTTTACAAGAGGGGGGAACTCTTGGTAAAATCAAAAGAATACATCCCTAAAGTACAACCTGTCAGATTTCCTTTTAGAAAAACTGTTATCATTGTAAATCGGAGCAAAATTGCTGGTAAAATAACAACTATTCTAGATGTCAACAGAAAAAAAATAAGTATCATTGTAATACCAATACATTCCACGTTCCACTTAGAATCTAAAATGAATGTTATAAAATATTAACATTTTTAATGAAAACTATATTATCCTATAATTGAAAATAGGTAAAAATTTTGGTTAAAAGAGTATGAAAGTGTACAACCTTAAAGACTCCCTCCCTCCTGAAATATTTTTTTGTAAACGTACCTAGTGGAGGGTAGTAGGTACAATAACATTTTTTTTTTTAAGTAGGTGAGTCTAACACCAGCATTTTTTCCTCAAAACATGAAATATAGATCAGCGCCACTGTTTCTAAGATATTGAAATGAGCTTTTCAACATTTATCAATTACAAGCGTCAATAGTTCAATTATCTAATTGAAAAAGCATTGGATGGAACTTTTCAAATATAATTTGCAATGCCACCCTCAAAAATAAAAAACTAATGTTGACTCAGAATCTTTAATAAGTATTTATTAGGTACACATGTATAGGGTGGTCAGATTTTGAATTCACCTAACTGTAACATATAGAATGATCTTTTTAAATTTAAATATTCAATAATTAAAACAGGTACATTATGACTATTATAAATATATATTTATGATTATACATAGGTAAATGGATAATTTATTAGTGTATATTTATTAATCTATAAAACTATTATCAACCTAATAATAAGAAGATAAAATAATCTAACAAGAAAATGCAAAATACTTGACTAATGTAATTATTTTACCTAAGTACTTTTTTATAATTATTTCTTATATGTAAAACACAAAAATATTAATGCACCTATCAAACTATTTTTTGATAACAGAAAAATATCAGCACTGTAAAAAATACCTATATATAATGCAATTATTTCTCACAAATACAAATTGGTTATTATAAATAGGTAATGGATTTTTAAAAATTAAATAATATTTGAATAAATTCTTTAAATGCTTGAAGATTATTGAATATAAATAACAGAATATAAATAGGCAACACAGTTTTGCGCCAAAATTAAACAAATTTATAAAGTACTATATTAAATAAAACAATTACAATAGAAAAATAAAGTTTATACAATTAAAATTTGAAACCACATGTTTGATGTTTAGAATTATAGAAAGCGACCACATTATTCTGTATTCATCTGTTAAGTACCCTAACACTCAACAGTAACTAATTTTTTACTTACCTAGTTAAAAAGATCTGTTTCGAGTTGAATATAGCTTATTTATTATGGTAAAACACGAATATACAAATCAAATAAACTGGCAGCTTCTGAGAATATAAATTATAGGAAACAAAGTACAGACTAAGGAAAACGATAAACTCAACAGTACTTAAATGACCAGTTATCGAAATTTTAAAGAAGGAAAAACCCGCAATATCACTGAATTAGTATGGCTTAGTAGAAAAATGAATTCACAACGATAACGGCCAACTTCTTAATTCGAGGTTAAAATTCATGGAAAAAAATTGTTTATTGAAACTGATGTCTATGGAATATAATATTAATCAGGTTATATTATCAGAAAAATACAAAAACGACAAAAAGCCACCAAATAAATAACCACTCAACAAAGTCACGCGAAAAAACCGACAAAATGTCGAAAAAAAAAACTCATGAAACAATTTAAGATAATCGTGAACAAAACCCACAGATATCTATAAGATTATTACGACTATACTACTATACTATAAAAAAATGCATAACAAATCTAAACATCTAGCAAATGAAAAATTAGATACTTATGCGTGCGGGGTGGAGGAAGTGTACGGTTTTAGAATACTGCCACTGTAGTCACAACAGCAACAATAACGGTTGTAAATTTGTCGAAATATTCAAAAACATGGTTTTGTTGTTCTAAAAGTTCTCAGGTCTCGTTAATCGTAGAAACATGAACTGTGCCTTGTTCGGAGCCAATTTTTGTTCTTGCGTTTATTTTGGTACTAAAATCATGTTTCTACGATCAATGAGACCTGAGAACTTTTGGAACTACGAAACCATGTTTTTACTGTGACGCCCTTTTAAGTGTACATAATTTCGTCCGAAGTTAGCTCTCTGTATAATATAATTAAGTAGGTTAGGTCAGGTACATAATATCAGGAATATATACAAGGGGGGCGATAGAGGCAATCACCCCTCCTGAGTATTGTTGATTTGTTTCATGTATTTACTTATTTACTGTACTTTTTATGTACTTACTTATTTTGTGATTAATAATCAAAAATTTAAAAAAAAAAGTTAATTTTTTTATGCGGAAAACATGTTGAGATTGATAAAAGATTAGAGATATTGTAGCTATCGTCAACATATAGACCTATTGTTGGTTATAATCATAGACCTTATAATATAGTTAGTGTCTGTGAATTATAATAATTATATTGTGAATGTATATACGAATATTGTCTGTACTCTGCAACCATGGTCCGAGTTATTAACTTATTCTGTTTTCGGGGAATAATACCATAGAGCTGTGATAACTATATCATAACAAAAATTGATAAGATTTTTCACGATTTCAACAATTTCTTTATAATTTAAAGCCCCCGTAAAAAAATTTTACCCGGACCACAAAATTCTTAAGTAGGGCTCTGCCGAATATACGTCATATACAAGCGCATACCCTTTTAAACAATATACCACTGGGTACAATAATTTATGATTTTACACCAACAGTTTATTATTTTCTTTTTTTTTTGTATTTATATTATTTTATATATCTGTGGGATATGAAAAATCACATAGCATATTCAAATTAATATGCAAATAACAGTTAATATGTCTATGAGAAATCACGATTTAAGATTTACCTTAAACCGATATATCTTAAACCATAACAGATAACAGATATATATTTTAACCACGAATTAAGATATAAGTATATCTAGTATATCTGAATTCTTGATTTTAACCTTAGATCATATACTATGGATAGAAGTATTGACTAAACATTTGAAGCAAACATAACTAGGGAGAGTTGAGTCAAATGCGCAAAATTTATATCACAGGTTGAATTCATGTAATCACGACGTGACGTATCTACCATCACTGCGTGGTGGTATTATGATTATTCGATTAATATGCGACATGTTCTGATACGTGCAATAGATATCAGTCCCCTTAGCACTCGTTAATAATGATGTTTTCAACTCGGAGTACGCGTTTATCCTGGAGTAGCCTACTCTATCCATAGTATATGATCTAAGATTTTAATAGATGTATCTTAACCGTGTAAGAAATTAAGAGCGGTTCATATCATTTTCGAATAACAGCAGTGCCATAGAGTAATATAGAGAGGCCGTCCTGTACAAGTTGATAAACAAATGGTTTCTATTTTACTTGTGGGGAAAAAAATATTTGGTACGATGTGTTGTCTGTACATACAATTACATAGGAACAAAGTGTATCAATACACCTTGCATAAGAATTATGATTTTTGTTACAGATAACATATTTCAGTATAAATAACAATGTACCCTATAAATTTTACAATATTTTTTTTTCTAAAAGTATGTACCCTGTAAAATAGAAACCATTTTACGTTTCATCAGACAGAATAGCCTCTCTATACTATTACACTATAAAAAAAAAACTTTAATGTATTCTGTGGTATAAAAATCTGTGTACCAAGGTGGATTAATCATAGATAATTAAAATTATTATAATAATTTATTATTTATGAGATTATTTCAGCTTGAGCTTTGTACCACGTCAATAGTCGGTGTAAAATGAGTTATCAAAATGTATAGTAAATAATTAATTGTGGCCAGACTGGGCAATTTTAGAGTTTAGGACGATCCCTAAATAATTGATAAAAGAACCTTGAGTTCCCTATCTCATAAATGCATAACATAAACGATAAATCAGTAAACAAGGAATCGTCTTTATTCGTGTCATAAACGTAATAATTAACAACTCATAACTCACAAAATGTCTAGATACAACATACAATGATAATTAGTTATTATAAGTTCATTTTTTAAGTTACCTGGTTGTATTTAATGTACTAAGTGCAAAATAATTAATCACAATGGCTGCCCCTCCAGCAGCATTAGTGAGTAAGGTTAAAAAACATTTCATCGGAATTCCTGCACCACTCGGGTATGTCGCTGGTGTTGGTCGAGGTGCTACAGGTTTTACTACCCGGTCTGATATTGGACCAGCGCGAGATGCCAATGATGTTTCTGATGATCGGCATGCACCACCAACAAAAAAAAAGAAAAAAGACGAAGAAGAGGATGATGATGAGGATTTGAATGATTCAAACTATGATGAATTTAGCGGTTATGGTGGTTCATTATTCAGTAAGGACCCATATGATAAAGACGATGAAGAAGCAGATATGATATATGAAGAAATTGACAAACGTATGGATGAAAAACGTAAAGAGTATAGAGAGAAGAGATTAAAAGAAGAATTAGAGAAATATCGTCAGGAGCGACCTAAAATTCAACAACAATTCAGTGACTTAAAAAGAGGGTAATTATATTATTTAATCAATTATAATTTGAATGTTGTTGCACAAAAGTCTTATATTTTAGGTTGACTATGGTTAGTGAAGATGAATGGCGAAATATTCCAGAGGTTGGTGATGCTAGAAATCGTAAACAAAGGAATCCAAGAGCTGAGAAGTTTACACCGCTGCCTGATACTGTACTGTCCAGAAATCTTGGTGGTGAATCAACTTCTTCTATAGATTCAGCGAATGGCATTATGAGTCAGTATCCTCATGGTACTGTTACACCTGGAATGTTAACTCCATCTGGGGATCTTGATTTAAGAAAAATGGGACAAGCTCGTAATACTTTAATGAATGTAAAACTTAATCAAGTTTCAGATTCTGTTGAAGGTCAAACAGTTGTCGATCCTAAAGGTTACTTAACTGATTTACATAGTATGATTCCAACGTATGGTGGAGATATCAATGATATTAAAAAAGCTAGATTATTGTTAAAGTCTGTTCGAGAAACTAACCCTAATCACCCACCAGCTTGGATAGCATCCGCTCGTCTTGAAGAAGTTACCGGGAAAATACAAGCTGCTCGTAATGTCATCATGAAAGGTTGTGAAGACAATCCAAAATCAGAAGATCTTTGGCTTGAAGCTGCCCGTTTACAACCACCAGAGACTGCTAAAGCTGTTATCGCTCAAGCTGTTAGGCACATTCCAACATCAGTTCGTATTTGGATTAAAGCTGCTGACTTAGAATCTGAAACTAAAGGTAAAAGAAAAGTTTATCGAAAAGCATTAGAACACATACCAAATTCAGTAAGATTATGGAAAGCTGCTATTGAGCTAGAAGATCCAGAAGATGCTCGAATTTTGTTAAGTCGTGCTGTTGAATGCTGTCCTACTAGCGTTGATCTATGGCTAGCATTAGCTCGATTAGAAACTTATGAAAATGCACGTAAAGTTTTAAATAAAGCTCGTGAAAATATTCCAACTGATAGACAAATTTGGACTACTGCTGCTAAATTAGAAGAAGCTAATGGTAATATTAATATGGTTGAAAAAATCATAGACCGAGCTATTTCTTCTTTAAGTGCTAATGGTGTTGAAATTAATCGAGAACAATGGATAAAAGAAGCAATTGAAGCAGAAAAATGTGGTTCTGTAAAAACATGTCAAGCTCTTATTAAAGCTATAATTGGTTATGGAATTGAAGATGAAGATCGTAAACATACTTGGATGGAAGATGCTGATTCTTGTGCTAGTCAGTCAGCCTATGAATGTGCACGTGCTATTTTCTCTCATTCATTAGTTGCGTTTCCAAGTAAGAAATCTATTTGGTTGAGAGCTGCCTATTTTGAAAAAAATCATGGTACTCGGGAATCTTTAGAAACCTTGTTACAAAAAGCTGTAGCACACTGTCCCAAGTCTGAAGTATTATGGTTGATGGGGGCCAAATCAAAGTGGTTAGCTGGTGATGTGCCGGCAGCTCGTGGTATTTTATCTTTAGCATTTCAAGCAAACCCAAATTCAGAAGAAATTTGGCTTGCTGCTGTTAAATTAGAGTCCGAAAATTCAGAATTTGATCGTGCAAGACGTCTATTATCTAAAGCTAGAGCTTCAGCACCAACTCCAAGAGTAATGATGAAATCTGCTAAACTCGAATGGTGCTTAAACAATTTAGATACAGCTTTACAAATCCTTGAAGAAGCAATAATAAAATTTCCAGATTATGCAAAATTATGGTTAATGAAAGGACAAATAGAAGAACAACAAGGTGATGCAGATCAAGCTCATGAAACTTATAATTCTGCTCTAAAAAAATGTCCTAGTTCTATTCCGTTATGGATATGGTTAGCCAGATTAGATGAAAGGCGGAAAATGTTAACAAAAGCAAGATCAGTATTGGAAAAAGGACGATTAAAAAACCCACATAATCCAGAATTATGGCTGGAAGCTATACGTATAGAATTTCGTGCCTCTATGAGAGACATAGCAAATACAATGATGGCTAAAGCCTTGCAAGAATGTCCAAATTCTGGAATACTATGGTCTGAAGCTATATTTTTAGAAGCAAGACCACAACGAAAAACTAAAAGTGTAGATGCTTTGAAAAAATGTGAACATGATGTTAATGTTCTTCTGGCTGTTTCAAAACTATTTTGGAGTGAAAGAAAATTACAAAAATGTCGTGAATGGTTTAATAGAACTGTAAAAATTGATCCAGATTTCGGAGATGCATGGGCATATTTTTATAGATTTGAAGTTTTACATGGAAATGAAGAATCTCAAATGGATATTAAGAAGAGATGTATTGCAGCAGAACCTCATCATGGTGAAGCATGGTGTATTGTATCAAAAAATATCAACAACTGGAGGTTCACAACTGAAAATGTTTTACTGTTAGTTGCTAATGATTTGCCTATTCCTATTTGAATTAAATAAATAATTTGTATGTAATCTTTTAGCCAACTGAATATGAAGATACACATTTAAAAATAATTTATATTAAATAATTTTAATTTAAGTATTTTTTTGTTTTTCATCACATATTATTTACATTCTGAATGAATTATATTTTATACAACAACAAAATATAAAGGTTTGTATAATTCTGTTTACTGAATTTGTCATTTTAAAATGTTTAGTAAATTATCTGGACTTATAAACTATCTTGACAAATATATAATATATGGCTTGGTACTAGATTCTAGAAGGGTCAATATAAAAAAATTAAATGTACCTATTTCAGAAATCTCAACATAAAGTCTGTAATTATTGCAATACATGTTTTATTTGATATTGGCCCTTCTCACATCAAACCACTGATAAAGTTTAATATAGTTTTTAACATTAATATTGAAATTAGTATTTATCTGTAAATACTTTAATTTATGTACCTATCTAAACTATTTGACTAACTTTTTTTTAAATTACACGTTATAATTTTTTACAGGGTATTCTAAGATTTATCTATTTTTAAATAAAATTAAGTAGATTTAAATAACAAATATATTGTAAAATAGATCAATTTAATATCTATCTATATATTGTACGCATAGATTTATATATCTAGACAAAACATTCACCCAGAGGATTGAAATGTGTGAGCAGTCTGAACAAATCAAAAGAGGTAGGCTGATATAATGCCTTGATGTTAGAGAGCAAATTTAAACTATGAGGACAGCTAATTAAAACACTCCATTTATTTTATCATGTGTTTCTATCCTTGAAATGAAACTACTCACTGGAACGTGTTTTTATGCTGAATGTTCCATCTAGATCGCCGATTATTAACCTTATCTAGACTAGTCTATGATCGTGTATATATATATATATATATATATATATATATATATATATTAAACTTGTTTGTACTATATGGCTTGTACTAATATAGATTAAATCAATAATATTTTACAACCCGAATTATGATATATCTTAATTTGTGTTATATTCGTCTTAAAATGAAGACTCGTCTTTAATTTGTCACAGTTCTGTTTAATAATACATAAATAAGTTTTCCCAAAAATCTAAATCTAATTATGATAAATAGTTATAGATTATGGACTTCTATACAGTTATTATGTAACCCTTGTTAATAGAATAATCTATCATAATATATAATAATATATATATTATCTGTATCTGTAGAAATAAAAGATAATACAGGTATTTAAAGCATGGGTATAGATCAAAATAAATAAATTCATATCTATAGTCGTGATTTATAGTACATTTATACAAAAAAAAAACAGTTATAAAATTGTGTACATAAACACACATTAATTTTTGATTAATATTATTTTCAAAATCACCGCCAAAAATGCTATAATACTGTTGCGCAATGTCCTTGCGGTTCAACCATATTTAGGTGTATGTGTATATATATTCTGTGGTTCAACACGATTGGTAAAGAATGTCAAACCAATGTTACCATATGATTATTCATAGCATCAAAAAAAAAAAAAATATAACGTTTATCAGTATTTCTGTATAAATCATTAAATTTAGATTAAAATCATTTTTAGATAGGCAATTTGGGATTTCTAAATATTTGCGTCGCATGTTTAAAATTGTATTGTACATAACTGTGTTAAACAGTTACATATTTTAGGTGTTGGTGAATGAGAATATACCCACTATTGATCACTGCCACACCACTTCTAATTTAAGTATAATTTACGTACAACAAAATAATGGAAAAGGATGATGAAAAGTTCTTTTATGAAGATGAAGTAGCCATGGTGTCTCCAAAATCTGGTCTAGTCAAATATGGATTAGTTTTAACTACAAACAGATCGCGATCAGAAAATGAGTTGATGAAAAGCGTTTATAATAACTTTAATGAAATCAAAGTAATTTGGCATCCAAATGGAGCTGAAGAAATTATCCCAGATGATAAGGTACCAACTTCCAGCAATAGTTAAAATATATATTTTTAAAACTAATAAAAGTATATTTGTTGTAATTTTCACAGGTTGTGTTAATGGATCGATCATTGATGCCTGGTGATGTAGTACGAAAGGTCAGTGAAGGTAAACCTAGTCAGTTTGGATACTGTGAAAATATTAATATTTACGCTACAGTTAAAATACTGAATACTAACAAAATAATAGAAAACATCAGTTCTAGAAACTTTACTCACACAAAAGTATGTATTTATTTATTTTTTTACTTTAAATTTACTTTTTTTTAAAGTTTTATTATAATTTAAAATTTTTGATTTCAAACTTCATATTTGATAAAACTTCAAACATTTATTTATTTATTTGTTGTATACAATTTATTATAAATAATTTTAATATTTATTAACTAAATCTAATTATTATACATGTTTATATTTATAGTCATTTGCCATTGATTCTTCAGTTTTTTATGAATCATGGGTTGGCGGAGTTTATGATGTGAAATGTAAAGTTACATTTGCTTCGCAAGATGGATCTATTTTTACATTGGAGGATCCATATAGACAAGATTTTATAAGTCTGTCTACAAGTGATGTAAGCCGATTTTTATTTAAAGTATTTTAAAAGGAATAAATCTGTATAGTTTTAAAATGTATTTATTATTATTTAATATTTTCTATATAACATTGATAGGTATTAAAACTAATAATTTTATTTTCTCATAGAGTTTTTCCATTGATGACAATGTATTTTATCCTGGGCAAAAATTAAAAATGTGTCTTGATTCTTTCGAAAATGCAAAATTTATTAGAATTAGTAACTTGATGAGTTGTTTGTGGCACAATTATAAAAAAAAGTATAACTATAAATTTGTTTCCAAGGTAATATTATTATTTAAAATAAAAGTATAAGATCATAAATATTTATTTAATATTGAATTTTAAGTGGGTCAAAGTTTATGTACAAGATATTGCTGTATCATCTGTTGAAGTTGAGTGGTACTGTCAAACAACAAGTAAAATAAAGGGACGGGAAGAAAATTGGCCAGAAAGAATAATTACTGGAGATAATTTGAAAAAGTAAATATTAAATACTATTGAATTATTGTAGGTATATTGTGTTAATGTATGAAATATATATTTATATGTTATTATATTCCAAAGAGCTGGGAGATTAGAAAATAATAAATTCTACATACAGGTGATTTTTTTTATCATAAACCAGCAATTTTCTTAGAGGATTTTGAGTGAATTTGATAACTGTTTTTTTTTTAATAATTATGGAATTAGTTTTATTTTAAAACCATTTTTAATTTTTTAACCCCTATTTCATATACCTTAAATAAGTGTATACTTTTGTTTTTCAAATAAAAACTCTTCAAACACTGATTTGAATAGAGAATATTTTTCTAAAAATGTATATATGCATAAAACTATATCAGATTTACTATTTATGAGTTATAACCATTTAAAATTTAGATTAGAGGACTAGGGTAGAGTGTAATCATGCAATTTATTTCCCTTTTTTTACTCCATAATAATTAAAAAAAGAAAACAGAAATAAAATTTACTTAAAATTCTTCGAGAAAAATGCTGGTTCATGATGAAAAAATCACCTCGTATGTATACAAATATTGTATACTTTATATAGATTCTCAAATTAGTTCAAAATAGTTCCCAAATTATATATTCCAGCAATTTTTTTGAAAAAAAAGTTTTACACTTCTTGTAATGATTTAAATTTTGGTGATCCTGATGTTTTCTTTCCCTAGATCATAACTTCTAGAATGCAATTATTCTGGTTTTTTTTTTTTTCATTGTTAATTCAATTATTTTCTATCAATAATTGTTAATCTTTTCTATTAAACCATGTTTTCCTCTAATAATATCTAACACTTCTACATTAGGTTTTATTTCTATCCAGTGCATTCTTTATATTTGTCTGTCTTTAATACCACTTTTTCATAGCTTCCAATTTATTTTTTTTCTTCACCTGTATAACATTTGTTTTGCATCCATAGACACAATGGTCCAGGCGTAAGTTTTTATTCACTATTATATTTATTTTCTTCTTGGAGTAATTTCATTTTGTTACTTAGAGTTTGAGATTAAGAAGACCCCAAAAATCAGAATTAATAATTCTAAACTACAATTAAACACATTTTGTCTGAATAATTGAGTTTAGATTCTAAGTGGAGAGATTCCAAATGTATTGGTTTTACTATGGTGTATGCTAAATATTATTTTTTGTTAAACAATTTTTCTATCAACAATTTAGTTTCAATAAAAAAATGACAAGTTACCTTTGTTATTGTATTTTGGATTTAGTAGATCCAATGTGAAGTAATTTTTTGACTTTTGGCAGTTTGAAAAATAATTTAGGAAAAAACAGCAAAGCTGATAAATATAACAGTTTCATTATTAAAATTTTTTTTTTGTTGCAATTTAATTAAAAGTGATCATAAAAACTTGACATTTTTCAAAATACTTATATTTTAATTTTTCAGATATTTATAGACATTCAAAATTTCCTTGTTTTTAGTTTTTATTGAGTTATCTTTTGATTATTAAGTTTATTAACTGTGGTCGAAAAGTTGGTGTAGTTTTTTTTTTTGTTGATAAAAATCTTTAAAAATGTTGACATTACAAAACATATAATGTAAATAAAATATATTTATTTATATATTTTACTTTCCCAACTTTTCCATTTCTCCTTTTTTCTGTAAAGTTATTATTTGCAATCACATTCAGTTTATGCAACATTAAAATTAATAATATTCTAATTCAAAGAAGCCGATAGACTATTATCACAGAATGTAGTTTAAGAAACACTTATATAAGCAATTGGTAAAATAGGTAATTAATGTAGAGGATTTATTTTTTTAATAGCTCATGTAATGCATAATTTGCTGTTGACACATTGTGTAAAAAGTTCTGTTTAATACTTTTAAATTACAATACAAAGATGTGCATTTAATATTTGTATCACTTAAATTAGTTTACTAATAATATACTAAATACTAAGGTTAATTAGAGATTCAATAGTAAATCCCAAAGTCACCTTTTAAAAAAATTGTTAAAAATAATACATATTATCATATTTGGTATTGTAAAATGACAAATTATTTAAATACATATTTTTTTAGTTTTCGTATTTACTAAAAAAAACATCTATTTTGAAATATATTTTATGTCTATAAATAAATACAATCATTATATACTATAGTCTATTATATATAACTTTTATTATTAATATACAATTATTATAAGTATGTAAAATAATACAGTAAAACCTCCTTGTAACAGAATCACTGCTTGGTACAATTGATGTTTCTATTATAAAAGAGTTTGTTTCCGTTATAGGGAGATTAAAATATACATATTATAAGTTATGCAAAACTGTTGTTGTTTTCCGTTTAAGAAGGTTTTACTGTACATTATTGTAATAAAATAATGTATATATATATGTTAAATTTATTTTATTTTATTTTTTTAAAAAATTATTATATTTTCAGATTAAAAACCATTGATTTATTTGAGTCTTGTTCAATTCAAGTGGGTGACACTCATTGGTATACAATTAAAGATACTGATAATTTGATAACAATGAAACAGTGGCGTAACAAATGTACTGAAACTTTTAATACTGCACCTGATTTAATGCCTAGTTTAATTAAAAAAGAAACAAACTACAACAAACTTCTAGGTATCAAATTCTATTATATATTTAAAAGTTAAATATAGTATTGATAATTTTGATATTTATCAATATCTTTGTCTAATAATTTTCTATTAATAAATCATGTTTTTTGGCAAATTGACTGTTGAAAATTCAGTTTAATTATGTGAAAAAGGTACTTATATATATATAATTTATTAGTTAATTGGAAAATTCTACCAAAAATTTGTCTTCGTTTCCAAGTGTAGGACATTTTCCGAAAGTCAATTTTCTTGGGGTGATATATTTAAGATGTTACTTTTTGATTTTCTAAGTATTCAATATAATTAGGAAAACTCGGGAAAATGTACAACAATAATGCTTTCATTATTTTCTTGTTGTAATTCAGTTTAAAATGAGATAGAAATAGATATTTGAAATTTGGACAGAAACCTTATATTTGCCTTTTATAGAAGCGGTAAAATTTTCAAAATATTCAATTCTCTTTTAAGCTATTTAGAAATTTAAATTTTTCAAGTTTTTTTACGTAATATTTATTTGGTAGGTACTCTATGGATACAATTGTTGGACCAAACAGAATTGCTTGAAAATTGATCAAGAAGTTTATTATAAGTTTTACTTTGTGGTAAACCAAGAAAAAGTTTTCTAATGAAGTATTTTTTTTTTCATGCAAATTTTTAATAACAAATTTTGATGAAAATCTTATATATTACAGCATTTTAAAATATTTTTAACCAAACTTCGCTCAGAATTGTTGTATGTAAACAATGGTTGATCGTATACAATAAAAAATTAATTTGCCTCTACATGCTTCCCAACTTTTCACTTATTGCAGTAGCTCTCTCATCAAACAATTTATGTCCATCTTTAAACTTGTTCTTGTCATTTTCAAAGTATAATTTATTAATTAAAATTTAAAAATAAAAATTGATTATTTTATTCTTTAAAATAAGATAATTTATTTCTTTGAATTCCATTGTATTATTTATATTAACTGAATTATCCTTTTGTTATTTTGTTAAAATTTTACTTTACATTGTTTGTATAGTTTGTGATATATCATAAAATGTTTAATCACTTATTTACAGGTACACTAAATGTGTCAAATGAAAATATTTCATCTATAAAAATAAGACAAATTGAAAAACCATCAAATAAAGATAAATGTATGTTACAGTCAAAGAAATCTGAACCTAAACCTTCTACAAGCACAATAAGTATAATTAACATCTAATGTTTAAATGTTTTTTTTTTTAATTTTAAGTTATAAATAAATAGGCAAATTATTTTTAGGTACAAGTTCCATACATACACTGAAATCTAATAGACTAAAAAGAAATCGAATGTGGAAATTATTGGTTAAGAAAAATAAACAATTCAATGTACCTAAAGTTTCTACAAAACCAAATTCTAAAGTTGTTGTTGAGATTTGTTACACTCAATCTATGATTGATGTTATATGGCAGGTATGTATTTTATATTTTGAAAAACGTTTCTATAATTTATTCCATAATTCATAAGACTATACGATTTATGATTATTCATATTATTTGATGGCTGGTAAAAAATAAATATCATTAATTGGTATTTTATATTTTTTTAAACTGTTAAGGATTGTTTTCTGGGAAATCTAGTCATGCTCAGTGAGCCATAGCTATGAAATTAGTAATTTGTTATCATGTGTGTTGATTTATTTTTATACACAAATTTCATAAGGTAATTTTCTTAGGACCCTAAGCCTTGCCTATAAGATTCTGGCGTATTGTATACTCGATAGGATAAAACCTTTATCAGAAGGTGTTCTGGGACAATACCAGGGGGGTTTTAGACCTAACAGAACTACAACAGATCAGATTTTCTGTATTCGCCAAATTGCACAAAATTCATGGGAATATAACAAGGAATTATACATTCTATTTATCGATTTTGAGAAAGCATATGATTCCATCCATAGATCTACCTTAATCAACATATTAAAAGAATTTAACTTCCCAATAAAACTAGTAAACTTGATTAAGGCTAGTCTTGAAAACACTTTGATAAAAATTAAAATTGCGAATGCAGTATCAGAAACAGTTAGAGTATCTACAAGCTTAACACAAGGAAACGCTCTTTCTCCTGTCCTCTTTAATCTAGTGCTTGAAAAAATTGTCAGAGGACTAAATACTATTGACGGGGTTGCGATGGGTAACACGACAATAGATTTGCTAGCATATGCTGATGGCTTAGCCTTTTTGGGAAATAATTTAGATACTGTAAAACAGAATTGTAGAAAACTAATAAATGTAGCAGGCAAACGTGGTCTAAAGATCAATGACAAAAAAACGAAGAATGTCATAATTGGAAGAAGAAGTAGAAAATACCAACAAGGAGAGTTTATGGAAATAGATAACCATAAATTTAAGAGAGCGTCACATTTTAAATACCTAGGATCTATAATAACACAAGATAGTCACAAGAAGATCTCCACCTTAAGATGGAGATGGACACTAGGATTCTAATGGGAAATAGGTGCTTTTTTGGCTTAG